CGGCACCTTGAGGAACACCGGCTTTTGTAAGCAAAGCAGAAGAAGATTTGCCATTATATGCAGTATACTGCATTCTATCAGAAAAATAAGATTGCAACCAACTCTTAGCCCAGTATGCTGTGTGCGTCAAGGGGAGCTTATTTAATAAAAGGCCCCCCTAGGTACAGAGTCAAACGCAGATGTGTAGTCTAGGAAAGCACCACGAACATATTTGGCACCTTTGTCTAAACAAGAAACAACATTATGATATAAGACAACTACAGCATCCAAGGTACTTCTACCATGTTTATATGGAAATTGCTTAGGATCATTAAAGGGTTTCAATGAAGGTACAAGACGAAGTAAAAGTAGTTTTTCCATCAATTTTAAAAAAGGAGAAGTAATTGCAATAGGCCTAAATTTAATATCGGTACCAGAAGATTGTTTTGGTATAGGGATAATTTTAAGGTTTTTTCACGCAAAAGGTAGAACATTACTAGAAAAGGAAGCATTAAAAATATTAGTAAGAGGGTGACACAAAATATCAGCACAGTTCCTGAGCACAATGGCAGGTACGCCATCAGGACCAAGGCTTTGTGAAGGCTCAAGAGAACGGGGACATTTAAGTACATCAAGGGTATTAAAACCATTAAAATTATTGTCTACGTGATTTGTATCATTAGGAAGGATATTGACAGAAGAGCGTATGAAAGACCTATGAAGATTATCAACATTAAGAGATTGGAAAGAAATACACCGCTTACCGCTAGTTATTTCTTTAAAAAGTTTCCACAAACTAGAAGGGGTTTTACATGACAAGAATCTTTGGTTATATAAAACATTTAGTCTTTGCATTTCGAGTTTTATCAGAGTATTTAACTTTCTTACACCTGACTTTTGTTTTGAACAACAGTTCTTTATCTCTACGTAGCTTTTTGAGATATGGAGAAGGGAAACGGTCAAATCGAGTGAATAATGTTTCTTTAGGACAACATACTTCGAAACAGTTTAAGATAATGTGTAGTGTTTGTGATTGTGTCATTTAATGTTTGTTCTGTAAATAGGTCCCAGTTAGTGTCTTTCAACATGCATCTGAGCTTGCCTAGGTTGTCTTGTGAGTAGCATATCCGTTGAAATTTACTGTAGTGGTGAGGGAAAACACGTTTGTGTGATTTGGAATATATTTTAGACAGTACACGCATGATTCAGTGGTCAGAGTTCAGTACAGGAGCACGTTTGCGAGTTTCATATATACCAGCATCATTGATGAATACTAGATCTAGTGTTTTTCCAAGACGGGTAGCAAATTTAACAATATTGTCATGGCCAAGTGATATAAGGAAGGAGTGATCGCATGAGTTAAAATCGCCAGTCACTATTGATAAGGAGTTCTCGAAGCAAGCTGCAGCAAAAGCGGTGAATTCATCTGCGAATATAGATAAATCCGATGTGGTACAGCCAGGAGAGACATAAACATTAGAAATATAAATGAATTTGTATTTTGACAAGTGTTTCGGGCGACATCTGACGGTGATGCAGTCAATGTAGTCATTCGAGAATTTGAAACAAACTTTGTTAGAAATGGACCATTTTCAGTGAACAAATGTAGCTACACCTCCGCCACATTTTTTCTTGGAACAAACATGGTCTTGTCGGAATACATTAATATCATTTAAAGATACTATATTGTCATCATATGAGACATGGAGCCAGGTTTCTCGTAGAGTGACAATACCAGTATTGTGATAAGTTTCGGATAACAACAGGGACTGAAAGTCCAGAATTTTGTTAGGCAGTGACCGGCAGTTGGTACTAACGATAACCGGAAAAGTGGTTTGATGTATGGGTGTAGATTTTAAAGCACGTTGCCAACCACCATGGTGCTTTTTCTTGAGTTTATTGCAGATATGAAAGTTTTTAGGTTTTAAGCATTTTATATAATCCCGAGAGTGAATGATACGGTTAGAATGCATAATTTTAAATGTAAACACCAACAAAATCTGAGTAAATAGATGCAAAAAGTACATGGAATATGGTAGCCCAAAATGTTCAAACAGGCCGCCAAGGTCAAAACCTTAAGATTAAAGGCTTTTGGGTTGTCAAAGTTTGGAACCTCTCTGGGTAGGCCACGGAAGCACCAAACTGAGTTAACAGTTTTCCATACGGATGTCTGCAGCCTGCTGAGCTGGGCAATGCGATAGACTCCGGAAATCCGGATGTAATTATCATAACACAGATATAGCCCACATTCAGTGTCACTGATAACGAAGTTAGCCTAGTAAACTTCGTAGTGTATGGGGTGGACCTACTAGGCCGCAAAGGAGGTGGTGTAGTCATCTACCTCAAAAAATTCCTAACCGTCCGTAGCATTGTAGCTGTCGCACACGAAACTGGAACGTGCGAACTTCTACGCTGCAGGCTCAAATGAATAGGCCAAGAAGTTGACCTCATTGTTGTATATCGGAATCCTGGCTGCGATGCCGAAGGCTTCCCGTTGGAGAAGCTAGGCTCCTGGACATCGAAATGTCGAGGCCTCGTGGTTGGTGACTTCAATGCTCTAACAGATGTGTGTGACACTGTGTGTCCTACATAGATAGGAAATATATATATTATATTACTATCAACTCCTTTGATCATAAACTACTGGAATCTAGTATATCACTAGCCCTAGTCAAACATGTCAAATAGCCCACGTGCTATGACTCACATCACTCCTCTTCAACCCTGGACCTAGTGTTTTTCCATGTTAGGGATGTGGACCTCAGAATATCTTTCTCCTTTAGGAAGAAGCAACCACTCTGAGCTCACTTTCAAGTTCATAGGAGCAGTATCATCGGCCGAAACCACAGCTCGACCAAACTTTTGGAGAATAGATATAAGTGTGATCGTCTCAGCAGTCAACTGATTGAAATGGTACATTAAACCCAGAGTCCGAAATAGAAGCCACATGGAACCAGTTCAAACAACTTTACGCCCAGGGAATCGAACCTTTCATCCCTCGGTCTGTCCAAAAGGGTCAGAAACACTGCCCCATTGGATAAAGTGAGAGATCCGTTAATTGCTCAGACATAAATACAAACGCTGGAATTTGTTTACCACACATGAGGCTCCCAAGACTAGAGATTTATACAACACCGCTAGGAACAAAGCCATTACAGAAATCCGTCAATCGGGGATGAATTTTGAAGCAAATCCACCTCAAAATGCAATGGCGAAACCTAAAAGGTTTGCCTCTTACTTGGACTTCAGGTATAAGGCAACCAATGGTGACCCAAACCTGACTATTGACAATGATACAAACGAAGAAGACCCACGAAAAGCAGAAGCAATAGCAGACTGCTTCTCCAAAGTCTGTACACGGGAGTTGTCACTCCCCATAGGATCAGCTTTGGCTGCATCAGGGGAACACAGGATAGACTCCGCTGTCATCGACCAAGACGTGCTCAGCTGCCTAATAAACTAGATGCAAGGAAATCAATAAGTCCTTATAGCCTTCATACAAGACTTCTCAAGAAGCTATCAGCTGAAATGACCAGCCCACTGGCCATGATCTTAAAGCGATCTTTCCTAAACGAAGTGCTACCAAGTGACTGGGAAGACGCCACAGTAGACCCCCTCCACGAAAGAAGATCAGACAAAGCCCTTCAAACTACAAGCCTATTAGTTTCGCCATCACCTTAATCAAGAAATCGGAGAGAATCACCAAGAAAACTATCATGGAATATCTGGAAAAAGACAGCTTGTTATCCAGAGCAGAGCATGGCTTCCAAGGAAACCTCTCATGCTTGTCCAATCTTCTCACTGCAAGAGATAGCCAAATCAAGGGGCAAGAAGACCCATTGACTTCGTCTTCATAGGCTTCAGCAAAGCTTTCGTAAAGTTATTCACAAAAGACTACTCACCAAGCTGGAAAGTCTTGGTATCAAAGGCAGCTTACCAAACTGGATCAGAGAATTCTTCATAGATAGGAGACAGAGGGTCAGGAACAACTCGAAACTCTCCTCCTGGAAAACAGTGTGTAGCAGAGTGCTACAAGGTGCGGCACTCGGACCTCTCCTATTTATTTTGTATATCAGTGGGTTATCTGTGCTCACGGATTACCAAATAGTCCTATTCGCAGGTGACTAAGAAGTCTGAAGAGAGCTGAAGGGGACAGTGATACGCTCACGTTGCAAGAAGACCTCAACAAATTGTTAGAGTGGTACAGAAATTTGATGCGCCCGATCATTCTAGCAAAATGTGCAACCATGCGCATTAGACACGCAACAGTCTAGCTCCCACAAACTAGAGTGAGTAACACCCTGTCAGTCCAGACTCATATGGATTTAGGAGACATAGTGAGTCACGACTTGAAAAATACAGCACACTGTCAAGCGGTGGCTGCACGGGCCATTCGTAGAGCCTATACTACAATCACCAGAGACATGTTCACCTCTCTATATTCATCTCTGGTGGGGTCAAGACTAGAAAACTGTATCCAGGCAGCCAGTCCTTGTCTTAAAGGAGGGTTCAAAGGAAGGCAACACGTGTGATTCTCGGCATGGACAATTTATAATGTGAGGAAAGACTAGACTTTGATAAAGCTATTGACATTAAATAGCGAAACGTCAGTAAAAACAATATCGTTTTGTTTTTCGTTCATTGGGAAATACAGAAACCTTTATTATAATGAAAGAGTAGACAGTTTAAATCTCTTCTCCCTATCATACTGTAGGCAGAGAGGAGATTTAATTACAATGCTTAAAATTTTAAATAATGACTACTACCAGGTTGGAACACCTTAGAGGACATAGGAGGAGAGTTCAAAAGCCGAGAAGAAACCATGTTGCTGTGGATTACTGGTTCCCATACTGAGTCATAAACTCCTGGAACCGGCTCACAGAAGAAGTAGTGTCTGCAACCCCAACTGATTCATTTAAGAAAGGTTTGGACAGGCCCAGAAATTTGTTAGAAAAGGATTAACAAAGGCTCCAAGCCTTCTATCCCCAACCAATAAATCTGAAATCTCAATATTGGATATTTGATGTTCGTAGATTAGGATGCTGTTCAAGGACGTGTGAGCTCACCTTTTCAGCCGCTTGCTTTGTCTATTATATCATCTTGTCGTGTCAGACCTGAGGATCCTACAACAGTAATCTACACAACAAAGTTAGTCAGCATTTTCCACATTTTCTCACTTCACCAAATAGTTTCTGCATTGTTTAAGATTTCACGAACATGAATGCAGTTTGTTGCACAGCTTCCCCGCTCTAAAGTTGTGCTCAATTAATTGAGCACTCATATTACAAGGTAAATCTAGTAAGCAAGGGGAAAGATGATGGAAGATTGCTAACAGTTTAGAATAGTGTTCTTTTCCAAGAACTCCCTTCATGAGGAAGTTCATTCCATCAACGTTTTTTTGGTCAAATTAATGCAAATTTAGGAAAACAGTATAAAGGTCGCTGTTTTTCCCAGTCTCCAATGTTTGGTGGTTTTCTCGAGAATTATCTTTAAGTCCTGAAAAATTTAGAATTGTATAACGTGAAAGTTACGATCATTATACAGTTGCAACATTTCACCTTTTACACTCTTCTGTATGTTATTATTACTAACCGAGATAGTTCAGCAATTTGCGCCTGTTAGTCCTACATGAATGTCTGCGAATACCAGATTAAGTAACTTCTCATTTAAATTTACTCTGATAACTACTCAGTTCAAACGATTTAAAACTGCTGTCTACTCTGTAGCGGTAACAAAACTAAATACTTCAAGGTGTATGCAAGTAAAACACAACATTCACTGTTACCCCACCTCCAAGTCTCATCGTCATCTTCAGTATTTAAATGCATGTCCACTGTAATTTATGACATACTCAACTATTTCATCCTACCTAAAATCACAGCCATATGGTTAGTCTTTATTTGCACGTATTTACTAAAATATGTCCCTTAGGATTTGACCATTTTAATAATGCCAGTCACATTTTATTCATAGCACAAGATCTTAAGTTTCTGCTGTTAATCTCAGTAGTCCTTAATATTTATCTCTCTTTTCAATGTAGAATCAGTAATGGATGTCAGAAAAATTCAGCCATATGGTAATCTTATAAAAGAATTATAAATGTTTCTAAAAAAAATATACCAGATCCTTCTATGCTCACCTATGATCGCGTAGAAGCTTCAAATGTGATACAGTTAGCTAAGGAGCTGACAAATATAAAACTACCAGCAAATATTGAAGTAAGTATTATTGGCGAGCTTCCGTTAATTCGAGCCACGTATTTTTACTCTAGGTTGAATGGTTGTTGAAAGCAATTTGTCTTATTGATTTAACGACATTAGCTGGTGACGATACACCTGTTAATGTCCATAGACTTTGTGTAAAAGCTGCTCATCCGTTGAGTGAATGTCTCTTAAAGAAGATTGAAACTATGTACAACTTGGATTTACAGGACTTAAGTAATAAACCACTTTCTCTTGGTTCCCCCAACTAATCATATACAGAAACAGCTGCTGTATGCGTTTATCCCTATCAGGTTAAAACATGTACAGAGACTTTTAAGAAATTAAAATTGCCTGACTTCAACATTGCCTCAGGTAGGTTGATTTTATTATTAACATTCTGTTTGACTGTTGATCAGTTGCCACTGGCTTTCCTTCAGGACAGTATCCTTTAGATACACGTTTGATGGAAATCAAATCGGCTATCATTGATGGAGCAAATGAAATCGACATAGTAATCAATCGGTCGTTAGCAGTACAAGGTGATTGGCAAGGTATGTATTACCAATTAATCATTAGTGTTCTGCAAAATTTTTATACCACACTCTGATGGCCACTTATATTTCACTGTATAACCAAGGTTATTTGGAATTTATTCTGCATTAAAGGATACTTTTTTAGAGTTGGATACAAATTCCTAATTTGGAATGTTTCTAACGGAAATGGAACGGTGAAGGAGTATGTTTGACATGAGGTAGTTTCTTGTTGAAATCACGAGACATTGTAACATAAAGGTTCCTAGATATTTGGAAAGGTATGATGTTGCGGTGACTGGTCACTATTACTGCCACTCAGATTGTATTTTTTACTTAAGAATCGATTTTGAGTTATTGCGTTGAAATGTCTGTACAAAACAACCACTTTTTATGACTTCGTCCCTCTTACCTTTTGAGTTAAACAGTCAGCTGCATGTTCGACAAATCCCGGCTTTTCTATTATAAACTGCAAACACTTTAGTAAGTGGAAGCTTATAATTTTCTGTACTCACTAACCGGAGAATGCCAGACGAACCCTTGGTATATGTGGTCATTTGAATCAATTCGCCATCAGTCATTGTGTAGAGAAGATTGCATTTTATCAGTCTCCACTTATTACTATTATTATTACTGTTATTATTACCATCACTATCATTTCCGTGGGCTTCAAGTGGAATATGGGGCTTCAGCAGCACATCTACACTTCATCATGATGTCTGCAGTATTTTCTGTCTTGTTTAACGACTTCGCATAAGCTTTCACTATCTCCTCACACGGTCGCCTCCATGCCACTCTCAAATGCCCAACTAGTCGTTTCCGTTTCGACTTACACTGTAGGGCCTGGCCAGTGATGTCACTCAACGGTCTTTTTGCGCGATAGGTTGTTGGTTGGTTTGTCGCCTTTCGTTTAAAAAGTGGTTAGGGCTAACGATGATGGTGAAAGTAAATTCCAGTTTAAGCGGCTGGGTACTAGTTTTGCCTAACTCTGTAAGAGTTTTTTTGTTTTAAAACTAATTAACATGTTTGTGTGTTTAATGTAGCTCTGAGGTTGGTTCAATAAGTGAGTGACAATTATTACTGTAAACAATCTACTGTCTACACAAGGGCAGCCAGTGCATTTCGGTCCAATGGGGGAATTTAAAATAGCTTCAACCAAATGACAGCTCATACCCGTGGTCTAGTGGCCTAGTACATAACACTGTGTTCAAAACAGTGTGTGATGGGTTCGATTGGGAATATCATCACTCACTGGGAATGCAGGTGCATCCAATTGATGGATCTCAAATAGACTGAAACGCGTTTCTTGGATTTCACTGCTGGCCATCACCAACCAAGGGAAAAACATAGATAATCGCCTTAAGATACTTCTTAACACTACGAATAAAAGATATCGTTAGCATGTGTATCCATTTTATAATTGACTGTACACAGTAATTATTCTTGTAATCCTACTCATTTTACTAACAATTGATTTTGAAATAAGTGGTGTTTAAGTTGGGTATGGATGCTAGCTGATTGAAGGCATTTGGCACGAAGCTGTCGACCTTGGCTTCGTGCTTGTTGGCAATCGTCAGAAAGGCATACATACAACCTTTAGGGGAATGATATCCCGTGTGAGATTTGAAACTGCGTCAAACAGTGCTTCATTCAGAGAAGTTACCATCGAACTATGTTTATAGCTGTTTTACACAATCTTTGCACTTGTTGTAAACAAAATGACTGACTGACTGGTTTCAACATAGAACTACTTAGCACAGATGTGCAGCAGTTCGAGCCGCCATACTCCATGCAGCACAAAAAGCAAGAGAAGAAAGTAAAAAGAAATGCAAAATAGAGACAGTAAACAGAGATATACGGCAAAAAGAATAGTAATATCGAAGAACAATATAGATTTATTGTGTATTATAAGTCACAAGGAGTGGATGCATCTACGCTATTGAGAACGATTTCGAACCATATGACCCATCGTATCCAGCCATTGGTTTCTACCATCCCGAGGACCCCAACCAGGGAGTGTACACCTCCCTACGTGGCTTAAAATAACTGTTGTGGATTTCATTGACCACCACTAGCTAACTCTTTTCCAACCTGACCCTATGTCAGCTAACATTGCCCGTCGATGGAGGACGGAGATGGCTAGGTATTCGTAACACATGTCCTAACCATCTCAGTCGATGTAGCTTCACAGCCTCGTTGATTAATTTCCCCCCTTGCCTAGCAATCGACACCTAACCTCAATATTGTTCACCCTATCATACCACAGAATATCCCTAGTAGTATAAAACATATGTCACACTAGTCATCTCAGTGATGCATTTTTGTGTTAATTACACTTCTTTTATTATATTTCATGTTTAAAAAAAATATTTTAGGCGTTTACGATGAAGTTTGTGCAATGCGTAAAGCTTGTGGAGATAGAGCCCACTTGAAAACAATTCTTGCCACAGGTGAACTAGGCAGTTATGATAATGTCTATAAAGCTTCAATGGCTTGTATGTTAGCTGGTGCTGATTTTATTAAAACATCTACTGGGAAAGAAACAGTCAACGCAACTCTTCCAGTCTCTTTGGTTATGGCACGAGCAATACTAGACTTTAAAGATGTATACAACGTTAAGGTGAGCCATGTGTACATGTCTTTTTATGTTTAATGAAATTCACTATATCTCTCTTACTGTAGTGGTTTGTGGTTCAGAAATTGTAGATTGTTCCAGTCATCAGTGTTTGATTGATAATACTTTCATTGTGGTGTTACGTTATTCATAACTGAAAAAGATATGAGCCTCTAGAGGGAGTATTAACTAAGCAAGAACCAACTGCTTTGTTGTTTTATGCATTCTTAATTAGCAAACCCCAACCCCTTGGTAGATTAAGTACAGGTAACAGTAGTTTTCTATCACAGTATAGGTCTTACTAAGCTGTTTTATAAAAGTCAAAGGCACAGTAGTTTATACTGAACAGTTCTCTACGGAGAAGTTCCATTAAGAGAGTATGGTTTATGGAGCTAATCAATCGACTTTTACTGAGTTTGAATCCCGTTCCATTGTGGCTTATGCGAACAGATAATTCCACTACTCTCTAGAATAAATGTCGTTTCATTACGTGAAGAATTTTTACCTAGGCACAGGATTGTCTTCAGCTGGGGGGGGATGGTTGCGCGGAAGGCTCTCTAATTCAGGCTTACGTGAACGACCAGGGCCAGTGTGTGTCTCTTGAAATACTTTTCGCTAGGATATATATACTTGCTTCGAAGCGCTTTCCAAAACCATTTGGGATATTCATGCCTTCTAATACATTCATCAAGAAGAAGAATCTTCGCATTCACAACAGAGAGCTTGACAGAATAACGAAGGAACTCATTAGGTTACTTTACTGTCGAGGAATCTGTGCCACTCTTTAATTCAGTGAAGAGTTCCTTAGGTGAAATCAGACTCTTCGCTGAATCACTTGTCTTGATTTTCTACAATTCTAATGTAATTACACATCGAGTTGATTATTCTCTATCTAATTCAGGTATAATGTAACCTTCAGAGTAACAGCCAAATGTTATGTATGATGCATTTATAGGGTTGACGAGGAGTAAACGCATATGTCATCCTCCAGCCAAAATGTACTTATTTGATGCTAACTGAGAAACAGTTATTAAGTTGAAGATCAGAACAATAATTGAATCGTCCAGAATTCGAAACATATTTCAGGATCGATATTATTAAGCTGGGATGTATTCAGGGCTGGCTAAAAGTAACACGTGTGCATACCAAATAGTGTGGGTTTTTTACTATGTACCTTTTTCAGATTTACCAGTCGACTTGAAAAGTGAAGGTGTCAGCGTATCCACCTTTGAATGATAAATTAGGCTGTAGGCTGAAGCAGTTATTTGCCGTTGAAATATGACACTAATGTCAAACCAGTAATTCTGTGTGATTCAGACACTTTGTGTCAGCATGCCTAGCCTTCGCCACCGTAGGCGGGCAATGTTAGCTGACAAAGGATCAGGATGGAAAAGAGCTAATAGTGGTCAGAACAAAATATGGCCTCATCAGTCAATGAAATCCACAACATTTAGTTTAAGCCAACCAGCCAGCCATGTAGGGAGGTGTAGACTTTCTGAAGGGGGTCCCCGGGATGGTAAAAACCAACGGAGGCTGGAGACAATCGGTGATACATCTCAAAATCGTTCTCAATGGCTAGCGAAGATGCATTCACTCTTAGTGGTTTATAATATCCAATAAAATTCTATTGTTCTTCCATATTACAATTCTTTTTGCCTCATATTCTATTTATTATCTCTCTTTACTCCCTTCTCTTGCATTTTGTGTTATATGGAAAGTGATTGCATGGAGGATTTCTTCATGAGTTGACATCAGTTAGAGAACCACTGGAAAACCTGGGAGTACTGGACGGCTGTTTCGTCCCAGTTTGGGGCTCTTCATCGGTACGCGCCCACCCCCACGGTTCGAACCTTGGACCTTCCGGTTACATGGTGCGCTCGTAGACCATTGAGCCACTGAGATCCGATCCAATGGTTCTTGAATTCTAATTCACGACAAAGCGTGACCATTTCGCAATATCTTCTTCGATGAGTTACTGCCTCATCTTCGACCTGCTGTACCCTACTAGTCACGGCTTCCCACACGTCAGCTCATGATGAAATCCCCCATGCAATCAAACAAAATCCCTACAAAACCAATACTTAAAAATTATATGGAGAGTGGCAGCTTGAAATCCTGCACATCTGTGCAAAGTAATTCTCTGTTGAAACCAGCCAGTCAGTCATTCAGTCAGTTGGCGTCATCAAAAGCATTCCTAACTACAATCTACTGCAGACTTTCATCAACAACTGTCATCCTTCACTCGATACTGAAGATTAGCCCTTTCGTCCTGGAAGAAGGAACAACAGGAAGTTTTCACCAAACCAAATAGGGAACCCATTGCCACTTGTCATATACATTTAGCATACCGTTGAGTAGAAGAATTACACACCAGATCGTCGAGAGGAACCCAAAAAGAAAGAGGAGATAAAAGCTTCTGAGCAGTCATGGCACCAGTTGAAAGTGATGGTAGAGGTAGGTCTGAGTGGCATAAAGATGTATTTCACTCAGAACACAAGGAGTCAATATGTAATAGTAATATGTGTTCGTGTACATCACATTCTGTCACAAAAACCTTTCATCACCGTCATCATAACCGTTATCGTCCTATAGAATATTCAATAATTATTATCTAAAAAAAATTCACATTCCAAATTCATTTAGCGTAATTAAAATTTTATAGTTATACTTATGTTTATGTTACTAAATGAAAAATAGCTCCCTCTCATTCACATTAAACAAAAATAAATGTAGACGTATTTATCGACTTTTATTGTTAATAATGAACTTGTCGTGTTTTTATTATTATCATCAATGTATACGAATGAAAGTTCAAGTTCTTTTATTGATTTTACTGATGTATATTCACTAATTAACTATAAGTGAAATAGACTATTAGTTTGATCATATGATAAAACCATGGAATACTGTTCTTCCTTGAACGATAAGTGTACACGTTCGTGAGATTATTATGTTAGGCATAGTTTTTCCAGAGTGACTGAAGTTCGATAACGGAACTAACTCACTTTCTCTAGAGGATATTCATCACACTTACCCATCTTAGCCACAGAGGTTGGAGGCCGTAGTATGTATGTGGACTGAATGATGGCCAGTATGGGTCATAAGACCTTGGTGACCCTAATAGGACAGTCGTAGGGGCATACACTGTCCGCCAAGGTATATGATAAAGCGAGGTTGTGTGAATCGTGGATTGGATGTGGGATCTCGTTTCCACGAGACATGTTAGGATGTCTCCGATGCGCAAGAGTCCTAATAAGATGTTCCTGATTTCATAGCCTCGGGGAGATGCCAAGGGATATTAAAATAAAGAAAAAAATCCGGACAGAGTGGAGGAGGGGCTGTTTACAGTGACTGACTCTGCTTGCATTGAAATATGCTCTGTTATCCCTCTCCCGGTCCTAATACTGGCAACAGTTTAGAGCTTGTTATGAAACGACACGGGTAAAGACACAATATTCATGACACTTACCCACCATGGTGTTTCCTGAAGAATATCCTCACGCAGTTCATTATATTAAAATTTAGAACTAACCTATAACGAGGTTTGTTTCACGTTTTTCCTGCAAATCATATGATCTGAGTCATGTTTCCATTGTTTCTGTGTAGAACTATCAGACTAGTACCAGTAGCAGCCATCTTCCTAAGGAAGTTATCTACACAGTGATTAGTGGACTTGTTTGACACAAGATGTATTAAAGGATATTGTCGATCGATGGGTTTCACTTCTCTTCACTTTATAAAATGGAGAAGATTTGTAGCTCAGGTGGATGATTTTGGTGTGGTTGTGTTCTCTGAGCTAGCTGGATAGTTAATTTGCGAAGCTTTCATCGCCCGTCCTACTAGGTGACATCTTCAGCGCATACTTCAATTTGAATTGAAGTGAGCTTTTAGATTTCCCCATCAGTTTATTAGTCATCTCTCCTGGTGGGTGAACTTGAAAGTGATTGGTTGTTTTTGTGTGTTTTCACACCCTCTAGGCTACTTGTATTGCTGTTGGTGTTGATTGTTCCCTTGACTTCAAGTTTGACCATTTGTGTGTGAGGTTTCTTTCTTATCGGTTGATAAATTTTGTCCGTCTCGATGTGTTTATTGATTGGTGATTCACTGGAATACCAGACAGACTTCTAAAAATTCTCTAGCATGCGCTAGCCGTCAAAAGACATGACATCCACTCCCTCATATCACTACATACAGACAGCCACGGACATCAATTCGATTGGGACAGTGTTCAAATATTAGACAAAGGAAACAATAAAAATGCTAGAGAATTTTTAGAAGACTGTCTGATATTCCACTGAATCATCAATCGATAAACACATCGAGATAGACAAAATTTATCGACCGATAAGAAAGAAACCTCACACACACAAAGGGTCAAACTTGAAATCAAGGAAAAAATCAACACCAACAGCAATACAAGTAGCCTAGAGGGTGTGAAAACACACAAAAACAACCAATCACTTCCAAGGTCCCCCACCAGGAGAGATGATTAATAAACTGATGGAGAAATCTAAAAGCTCACTTCAATTCAAATTAAAGTATGCGCTGAAGATGTCGCCTAGTAGGACGGGCGATGAAAGCTTCACAAATTAACCATCTAGCTAGCTCAGTGAACACAACTACATCAAAGTGAGGGTTTATCTGTAAACAGAAATGATTAGAAAGAAGAATCAATAAAGTCACCTATCTTATATCATACTTATGCATAGAATATGAAAACGTCTGTGACATCTAATGTAGGAGGAAATAAAGGCTTATAGTAGTCGATACAAAAATGGCGGAACAGAATAGATATCTTGATTGAGTGTTATTTTTGATTGTTGAAAAAGTTTAGCCTAAAATGTAGGTGACAGAATTGTCAGTTACTTATTATATAGAATACAGTATGTTTAGAGTCCGAGTACCCCAATGGTGCAGCGTCTCTGATTGCAACAGTGGGTGAGGCGGGTTTTTTTTAATCTGTGAACAGATATCAGTTCTTTCCAAGTTACAGACACGCCTTGATTACGTGTGAGACACAATCATTAAACTTAGATTCAAGCCCCTAATCACCAAAGGAGGTATTAACGAATTGATGAAGTGTTAAAGTTTATTCATAAATAGGTAGTCATCGGTGTTTAATGTGTCTGAGCTCAGTCGGTGTTAAACACTTGTAAGTAGATACATCAGTAACGCGTGAAATGTAAAAGTCTTCAGTTGAAGTTTCGTGATACTACAGAGTAACAGTAGAGTACTAAATCATCCTGCTCAGAGAACTCAAATGCATCACTATCATGCATTTGACCTAATTTGAACTGCTTCTTGAAATGTACATTACTTCGGGTTGGTATCATTATTATTCCCTTGGGTTTCGAGTGGAACACTTTGTTCTATTTGGTGCTATCCTACTCAGCTGGGTCCACGATTGACCATAATCTCTCATCTGCTCCTCCCCACACGATCTCCTCCATGTCACCGTCGCACCGATGGCCCACTCGTCGCTTCCCATTCTGGTTCCACTGGAGCGATGTCACTCGACGGCCTCCCTAATGTATGCCCGATCCATTTCCATTTCCTCCTACGTATTTGTTGAGCAATCTGCTCTCGCCTGTTGGTTCTTTGCCACAGTTTCTTGTTGCTGATTCTTTCTGGCTGTTCGGCTGGCTATTTGATATTCAGTAAAGAGTCAGCAAAGGTAGCTGGTGATAAAAGTCTGTAAATTGTTGGAAATCCTTTTCGTGACACACTGGTCAAGTTCCTAACTCGTATAGAAGAACTGACTGACTTCACATTTGTGTTGAAAATTCGAACCTTGTAATTTTCACTGTTGAGTTAATGCAGAAGATTTCCAAACTGGTTTCAGGTTGATGGAGGCGTATCTTGCCTCTCTGATTCTGGCCCGCTTTGACATTTTCATCCTTTCGGCCTTCACATTGGCAACATACCCACCTTTTCAAGTGATTTCTGAGTTGTGTCCTTATCGGTAGTTACTGATCTCTACAAGGTAAGTCAGGACCTGTAGTTTTCCGTAATGATCATTTCAAAGCTCCCTGTTTTCAAACTGGAGTGGCAGCATAGCTGGCTTTCTGGTCATCTGTGGGTGACATCTTACTGTCATTATGCCGGTATTCACCAGTAATATGACTTCACCCACAGAACCCCAACATAGCGTAAACCACTTGCACTATGATGATATAATTGCATGTAATCCAACTGGTGTTCAAACGACCTTTTTGGAGAACATGGTAAGACCTGTAGGAACATTCATCATTCCAGCCAGTATAGTTGGTTGGTTGGATTATTGTGCTACAAAATCCATTCAAACTCCTAATGTGTTTAAATTCATTAGGTTGTCAGTGTACAGCTTGTTGTCAGTAAAAATTTCCACTCTCCTGTCTAGGAACATGAAATAATTAGAATCATACGGACAAATATACTTGCCAGAGAATTTTAAGTGTTATGAATCACAAGGTTAAAGTTGAACGCACACTGATGTACAAAGAGTACGTTGACGTAAGTCAGAAATTTCTCGAATACTTATCATACTACTTATTAATTACGAGTAACACAAATATCATTTCCGAATATTTTTATTCTTCTTTCTTTCACGGAAATATACAGGTCGGATTTAAACCAGCCGGTGGTCTACGTACAGCTAAAGATGCTATTGACTATCTTCAATTAATGAACAATATTCTTGGATCAGAATGGATGAATCCTGACTATCTGAGATTTGGAGCTAGTTCACTGTTAGGCAGTATTGAAAGCCGATTATACAGTCTATGTCATAATGGTGTATTACCATCACCTGGGGAATTAGACTTTTTCTAATTCTAATTCTGAAACGACTGGATAGGACAGGATAACATAATATAGAATTTCTACAATTAACAACAATAGTTTATTGCATATTATAAATGTTTGTGTATATGTGTATCTGTATAGTGATTTGTACAATTCTTCAATTTTAATATTGATTTGTTTGTTTGTTTGTTCTGTTCTGTTATATTATGTTTCTTTTTGGGGGTGGGGGGAGGGTGGCAGTTGGGGATGAGGGGAAGAAACAAAAAAAACAAATAAACAAAACAAAACGAAACAAAAAATCAATAAATTCAGGACAGCTGTTTCATCATCATTTTAATAAATGATTATTATTATTAACAAACAAATACAATAGAAATGGAGGCAGAGAGAGAAAGGGAAAGGGGGAAAGATATAAAGAGAAGGACAAGGAGAGAGAGGCAGAGGGAGCAAGAGATGATGTAGATGAGGATAAAGATGCTGATGATGATGACAAAAAGTCTGTTGTTATTGATTTTTCCTTTTTCTTATTGTTTACTAATGTATATATATATATATATATATGTATATATATGCTTCACTTTTACTGCTTCTATATATGATTCAATATTGTCTTTATTTATGACTTATTTCTGCATTATTATTACATTTTCATTGATTCGTTCATTTGTTTGTGTGTATGAAAAACAAACAAAGAAACGAATAAATAAAGAGAAAAAAAATCATCAACAACAAAAACAGCAGTAACAACAACAACAACTACGACTACTACAGCAGCAGCAGCAATAACAACAACAGTGTGATGAGGAGAAATTTAAGGTGGGAGAGTAAACAAAGCAGCAGACAGTGATATACACCATTTTTTATTGGCAGAAGGACCATTTCAGTTTTCGTTGTATGTGTGCATGTGTGTGATTGTATACTCACTGTATAATATTGTATGACTGATTGATTTATTGATTGATTGACTGATTGATTAATGATTGATTAATATTTCATAATCAGCTGCTATAGCTAGTTAGTTAGTTCCTTAGTTAACTGATAATTTATTTAAGACAAGGGTTGAAGTAGAACACTAAACAGCATTATCTAGTTGTTGTGGTTGTTGTTGCCGTTGTTGATCATTGGATCATATCCAATATATGACCGACCGCCTGTTTCTCAGTTTATACAAGCTTCATCATAATAAGGGTAATATACATAGATATATATTCGATCATTCACTCACTCACTCACCCACCCACTCACTCATTTACTACTTACAAACAAATGTATATAAGTAGTCAAAAACAGTGTGTGTGTGTACTAGGCAATATGAACCAAAAAATTTAGAAAATAAGAAAGAATGATACAACATATCACAAGAAAGAGAAGAGAAGAGAAGAAAATCAAATTTTCAGAGAGTCAATTTGTACTGTCTAGTAACAGAAATAAATGTGATACCAGAAAGAATAAATGATCATTGTCATGGGAAGACTCTAGGATCAAACTGTTTTTTATTTGTAAAGTGTAAAGTGTAGGGAGAGAAATAAAGATCCCTTATGTTTGTATGTGATTACAATATTCCTCCATATTGCGGTGGCAGTGGCGGCCTGGAGTGGGTGAGTGCGTGGGTTTCACAGTAAGAGAAATGCAGAAATTGAGCAAGCACATATTTGTATGTATATAAATATATATATATATGTATAAATATATGCATAGATTACTTGACTGATAGATACATAATAAGCTTATAAACAGTTTGTCTTTTTTATGCTTACTCCACATCAAAAACTCAAATAATTGTCAGCATCATCCTATGATGTAATACATACATATTATTGATTTTTAAAGTTGACAAACAGAGAGAGAGAGAGGGACAAAGGGGAGGGATAAAACCAGTTAATTGTTCACAGGAAATGACAAAAAGAAAGGATTGCATACAGCAGACGTGTACGGAACAAGTTGGGAAGACGGGGTTGAGTTACGGTAGGGTGGAGTGGGGTGGAGAAATGAATACCCCATTGGACTGACAATTTCAAAACGTATGGAGAAAACAAAATTCATAGGGATTACTTTGAACAGTACTTTAAGTTTATTATCATTATTATTATTGATAGAATTGGATGCATAATAATCATAATAATAAGAGTAGTGGTAATAATGATAATACCAGAGAAATGTTAATTCAATTCACAGTTATGCATTGCATATCCCTGTCTGTTTGACTGTAGCTAGTGTTTTTGGAAATCAAATAAAATCAAACCAATTGAAATGCAAATTAACGCACGCACACGGGCACACATGGACACACGTGAAACACTTTTTGAGAAATACATAAATACAGAGAATGCGTATATATATATATATATATCACATTCTCATTAGGTATGTTTATGTATGTATGTATGTATGTGTGGATGACATTTGGCAATTTTCCAGCTTGATTATGGTTAATCATAATTTGTAGTTCTCCTCATTTTGGTCGCACGGGTTTATTCTTCATTCTCTGTAGTAGCAGTATTAGGATTATTTTTATCATTAGTATTATTATTATTATCATCATCATGATCATCATTATCATTATTATCCATATCACCGTTGTTGGTTTCATTAATTTGACTGAAATACCATTCACGATTGTCTTCTAGTGTTTCAAGGATATTTTGTGCATCTGGATATACTAGATCGGACCAGGTTTCCCATAATGGATGAACAATGTAATCGATGAAACTCACCTGTGTATGTGTGGTATGAATGGGGTGGGAAAAAAAAGGTAAAATGTTAGAAATCATGAGACACAGAATGGGTATGATTACTATTATTGTTGTTATTTCAGAGAAAATTAAATTACAGAAGAAGACAAATGTGAATTTTAGTTTATTTTTGAGTAATATTTACCACTGTGAGCTAGTGTTAAAATGCTTCTCAACCACTCACGTGGTCCGGAGTTTGATTCCTCGTTTGACGCACTCCTAAGCCTTACTTATAGTAGTCAGCGAGCCTGGTAAAGAGGCAAGGCTGGGTATGAGGTTAGTAACGCCACCGCTACTGAAGTTCCTAAGCTTGAAGCCCTATATTTCAATCAGAATGTGAGGAATAATGAACACAGATTGACTGGTTAACCACTCTCTGCACTTAACCACATAACCCTTTAGAACTTGTAGGACTGGCTCAGTTTTCTTCGAATTTGCTCTTTATAAGGGTCTATCAGAAGACAGGAATTTAGTTAGATCTAGAATGAATGACCCTAAAAAGGTGAGCGAATTAGAGATCAGAAATTCTAGGCATTACAAGGTACTCACCAACAAACCCATATAATAGAGTAAGCCAGAGCTATTGTTATTATTATTATTCCCGTAGGTTCTGGGTGGAATATAAGGCTTCGGCAGTACATCTCCATTTAATCTTGTTCTCAGAAGTCCTCTCTAGTTGGCCACACTATTTACCATAAACTTTCACCTCCCCCTGATATGACGTCTTCCATGTCACCCTTAGACAACCAACTCGCCACTTCCCGTTTGGGTTCCACTCTAGGGCCTATCTTGTGATATCATTTGATGGTTTTCTCAGAGTATGGCCTCCAATCCACCTCCACTTCTTCCTCCATATTTGTTGTACAATTGGTTCCTCCTTGGTTGGTCCTCTCCCAGAGACCCCTGTTGCTGATCTTTTCCGGTTATCTGATCTTGAGTTGTATCGAGCAAAGACAGCTGTCGATGAAGGTCTGTAGTTTGCTTGAGGTGCTTTTTATGATGCGCCAAGTCTGTGATCCGTACGTATAGTAGGTGGCACTGACTTCACACTGCAGTTGAAAATCCGGATCCTATTTTCATTTTCATGCTGAGGAGTGCTGTTGACCTTCACACAGACTCGAGATAAATGAAAGCTTGCCTTACTTTCCCGATCCCCGCTTTGATATCCTCATCAGTTCCATCGGGCTGTAGTTGAAACGATGCTTCTCAGGTAGGTAAAGGAGGTTGCTTCTTTCAAATTTCTCCTATTGATGCTGATTGTTGTCTCTTGCTGTTGCTGTTGGCCAGGAATCTTCTCCACATCTGTTTTCTCTATGTTCACCACTAAAACCCCAGGTAACTAACTGCTTGAATAGGACCAGTTGCTAGTGAGCATCATAGCATTGATAAAATCCTCTAACCAGTCAAACAAAATTCCTACAAAACCTATACTTGAAAACTATCGGAATGGTTATAGAAATAGTTATTGTTAGTTTGGGGGATGATGTAAATGTTAAACACTAAAGAGATCGTTTTTAGTTTATTTATTGACTTGAAACACTACAACAGACATCTACTGCATTCTCCAAAAGTGGTTTTATAAACGGAAGGAGTATTGGTTTATACAGACAACATGATATGGTGTGTATATGTAACAGCAGTTCAGTAATCTATCGCTGTGTGCGGGCAGTTCGGATCCTAGTTTGGCGCGCGCACACACACATACACACGCACATTTGACTGTGAATAATGGATAATTTCTTCAAGCCCCAACTCCATCTACTTGTTCAAGTGGATGGTTTTAAACTTCTTACAACAATCAGAAAATCTACTCGGCCAAGTTAAACTTTAAGCACCACTGACTACCAATGGAGTGCGACCGCACCAATGACCTTGAAACACTCACTGAGCAAGTTAGTGAAACTTGGCAAATAATGTTATCATCATCAATAAAATATGCTCATCGAAGTGTTATGCTATTAAATGGGATATTGGGCAAGTTCCAGCTTAGGTTTAGGAAAGATTAAGTTACTCTTTAAGCCAAGGACAAGTTAGGTTTAGGTTAATCTAACAAAGGTGACAGTAGGTTTGGTTCGAGTTAATTACAGCTAGTTTAGGGATATTTTCACGTTAGGGCGAGGTTTTAGAAAGATTAGGGTTATTGTTAGGTTTAGAAGACCTAAATAATTACATGCATAGAATGTGGTTGAATTACTCTATTGATATAAGAATAGAACTTGTGCAGTGTGGTAGAGTACAGTTCCATTGTGGGTAACATTTATTTTGATAAAGTCTCACAGTGTTATACAGTCATATTTACTAATGACGTTTCGAAAAAAAATTTATAGCTCAGTAAATATTACCATATTATATGAGACTTTATCAAAATAAATTTTACCCACAATGGAATTATACTCTGTTGATACTCCAGCCTAAAGCTGAGAGCCAACGACTAGCATGCGTTCAGGGTCATTGGAGCGTTCGCACTCCTGGGACGTTGTTGTTGAACTTCTCCATATGTATGCCATACACGAAAATATGCCTCCTTCACGTGATTGGTGCTTTCGATGTCATTCGCTGATTGGTAGTTAGTAGTGCTTAAAGTTTAACTTTGCCATCTACTCATAATGTAATACATGAATATAGGTCATACATCCATTCATCACCAACAGAGCTGAATGTTCATTCAATGTGAAATGAACTAGAATAGTTTTTATTTAAATAAGAAACAAACAAACAAAAGTATATTAAGTAAATTAATTACCTGTGATTTTTCTATAGTCGCTGTATTTCTATCACATATTGGACTAATATCAATGCCTAATTCACGTTCTTTATCCCCTTGACGGAAAAGTTCTTCCATAACACGACCTGTCCATTGTCTATACAAATCTAATGGTTTAGCTGGATTGCTTAAATCAGCACAATGTACCATATTTTGTAAAATCTGAAATTTGAAAAAAAGAAAGAAAATATAATTTATGAAAATAAGAACTATAATAGTAATAATAATAATAATAATCTACTTTATTCCAAAAACAGTACTTATAATACAGAATGGAATTCTCAGTATTTGTCACAATATTGTATCTGATTTACTCAAAATATATATATAATTAAAAATTATAACAAAATTAATTGAAGGAATTTGTCCACATTTACGACATAAAGTTAAAAATATTCGAAGCATGAATTGAGATTATTAAATATAATAATAATAATAACAATGAGTTTGTTTCAAACAGTATTGTCGATTCCGTTTTGGGAACTTTAGCATGCTATAGATTATTGGGTCTAATGTTCTGTTGATATGGTATAGTGAGGTGAAATACAAAATTAACAGTTATAATACAGCTTAAATTATGTCCACACTTATGGAAAAAAATAAACAAAAGGAAAAAACTGAGAGGATTATAAATCTAAGAAATACAATAACAATAAAATTTGATGCTTTAAGGGTGGAGGAAATGGTTTATTTAGTAGTACAAGGAAGGTTAGTTAGTTCATTTCTGACACTATTTTCATCACATAAAGTACGTGCCGTCAAATATGGTATAGTGGAATTTTTATACTTAGACGTACGTGAACAAATTCTTCTGGAAAGACTTCTTGTTTTACCTGAGGAGACACAAGGTTGGAGCTGTGGGTGGAGTGGGTGCTCAGAGTCTGACAAAACCCCTTTTGCAAATTTGTTGCATGAAATCAAGTGCCAGTCAGTGACAATGTCAACGATAGTGCCCAATGAGATACCACTCGTCCTACTGACAGTCTTCAGAGTTCTCCGATGTATGACATAGTCTTTTTTAGGCAATCCAGGAAAGAATAAGGGTGAACAGTAAAGAAGAATAGGTAAGATGCACGAGTTGACAAACTATAAGAGGAGTGGTTGAGCTATGCCTGAGTGCCTTAACTTCTTAATGTAAAATGTCAGACGAAATATTCTTTTAGAAATCGCTAAGATATGGGAAGACCAGGATAGGTCAGAAGAAATAATTAGTCAAAGATACTTAGCATCGCACTTGATTTCTATATCAGTATCATCACCACAGAGTAGGCAAGACGGCGGAAGCACAAGAAAATACGTATACTCAATATTAATCTCCTGTTTATTAGTGACTACTGGATAATCGTTCTGAAGTTCTAAGCAGAAGTCACTGCCAGTGGAGTTCATGATATCAGAGTGAAGTGGATGATTGCTTATCAATGATATTCGTTAGTGGTAGTGCTATTATTCATAGGTCATCGAATTCCGACTCAGTGGGCTGACCTCATAACCAGTAGTCGGTCCCGCGTTCAATTCCTCGTGTGGTCAAAAGTAAACAAACTGTTGAAAAGTTCTAAACTAGAGCAAACCATTTGTAAAGATTATATTTGTAAAATCTCAGCGAAATTGAAATGAGTGATTGCAACGTTTCCTGAATTTGGCAAACTGGTCCGAACTTCTTCAGGGAAATTAGTCGAAATTAACATAACAGAGGTTTATACATAAAAAGGACATCTGTTGTCTTGAAAAAAACTTTGTCCAATCATATGGTTATATGTAGGGGAAAATTTCAGACAGGTAAATGTAAGAGTGAAGGAGCATAAACAATCTCTAAAGGTGGTTCCAAAGACCTCTGCAGATTTAAAGAAGCTAGAAAACAGATCACCGATTGCACTGCATTCGATAGAAATGGGACACAAAATTGACTTTGATAGGATTAAGGTTCTACGGAAAGTTTTTGGTTCGTATAAAGAAAGACTAACCGCAGAAGCTTTGCATTTATGGGTGAATCCCAAAAGTTTTAACAGACGTGAAGGTGTGGTGTCAGCTGATGAATGGCAAATCCTGATTAATAAATAGAAAATGGATATGTATCACTAATAAATCATACTTGGTCAAAATTCCCGATTGTCTATATCTTCTTATGGAGAGGCTAACTAACAAATCTTTTAAAAAAGTAGACTAACATTTGTAAGTCTGAGGTCAAATTTTGATCACAGCTCATAAAATTTTGTTTATTATATTTGTTAATACTTGTTTTATGAATCATGATTGGACAAAGTTTTTAAAAACAAAAGATGTGCCTTCTATATATAAAAAACCTCTGTTATGTTAATTTTGACTAATTTCCCTGAAGAAGTTGCAACCAGTTTGCCGAATACAGGAAACGTTGGAATTACTCATTTCAATTTCGCTGAGATATTACAAATATAATTTTCACAAATGTCTACTTCTCACTCGGTGCCTAATTATTCTCTGACTGTCTGCCTGTTTTCAACATAGAATTTTGCTGATATTAGATAGTTGGAGGCAGTCGGCCATAGGAAGCCCTACCTGACCTAGGTTTCGTGCTAGTTGGCACTCGTCAGCAAGGCGTATCTGCAACCTTTTGAAGAAACTCATGTCACTCCTGAGATTCGAACTCGCGTTACCCAGTGCTGCAGTCAGAGACGTCAGATACGCCTTGCTAACCTAGGTCAGGTAGGGCTTCCTGCCGCCGATTGCCTCCAACCATCTAATATCATCAAATATCATCAACCAAATATGCCGAGCTACCTAGAATGGTGGCCACATTGTAAACCTGACTGATAGAATTCAGTCTGCACCAAGGAAAGGACTAGACACGTCACACTAGTTACTAGTGTCCAATCAAAAATAGAATTTTGCATTGATGTGCAGCAGTTCGAGTCGCCACACTCCATGCAGCACACAAAGCAAGAGAAGAAAGTAGAAGAAATACAAAGTAGAGACAGCAGATAAGGATATGAGACCAAAGGAATAGTAATAACGAAGAAAAATATAGTTTCATCAGAACTATTCGGTCAAATCTTGATCACAGTTCATATGAGTGGAGCGAAACAACTGTCTAGTGTGTACTCCTTGATTTTCAATGATTCTGTACATGGTGATAGTTCGTCATAAAATTCACGTGAAAATCAGTCCAAATCCCTATAAAACCCGTAATCTAAGCAAAAAATGAGACAGGAAATTCTTAGAGGCCTGATACTCAAATCAATTCACAATTTGTAAAAATCTGGATGCCGAAATAGGTCACACGACTGAAAGATCAAATATCACGTCAATGAGAGAAACAGTAACAATACATTCAGGATACAATCAAAAGGAATTCCATGGGAACAAGCTATCACAGTTAAGGTCATCGGGTGAGAGAAGTATTTCATTCATGGAGAACTTCCAAGACTCACTTCACACTGAAGTAAGCGCTGAAGATGTTATGTAGAAGGACAGTGAAGGGTTGACGTGTAAACGAAAGCAAACAAATCTTCACTATTTCAAGGTAAACATCAAGTGATACCATAAATCAAATCTACAACTCACCCAAGTGGCTAACCTCGAAATTGGGTAGTTTAGACGTTACTGTGTGATATTTGAAATAAACTTATCTTATATGGGATGACCTAGATCCCAAACAAGCGAAACAGCCGTCTGGTGTTCATTTCCCTTGGATCAAGCCATCAACCATCACTAGTTGATATGAATGGTATTCAGCCGTTGTTATCGATCAATGAGTATTAAATAGCGTCATGCACTTGTAGCAAATTTATTCAGCTCCTGTGATCTACTGCTTATATTACGCTGTTCAGACATTTTTAAGACTTTAATAGTTCTTCAGTCAGCGCACTAACTTGGAAATAGCATGTCAGCGTGCGAATTTGTAGCGCCAAGTGGACAAACAAGAAGTTTATAAGTTACAAATACCTCAAGATTAATCTTCCATTGACTGTGTGGAGTTCATTCTAACACATTCAAAAGTTCACAGTCCACTTCTATGTTCTAAAATATCTATGGTTATTTAACTGTAGTCATAAAACACGTTCATGCTACAACTCGGTATTACATCAAATATCAAGTTGACTGACGTTTCACAGTGGAAAGGCCTAGTTAGCTTTGTGAACCGATAGGTCCAAAGAATGATGATTCCTTCTAGGTTAGACATTAGTAGTAGCTCAAATCTATGCAGGGCTAGGCTTGCATGGAGTCGCCACACAACAGAGTTGAGTACGTTATCACTTAGTGGGTAAATTAGAGTCTAGTGAAACACAGTACCCATTTCTCATTTCTCCATATCATAAAACCTCACTATTGTACATGTAGCATCGATGTTTTAATAGTTAAAGAAAATAAAAGTAAAAATACAAATATAGATTGAAAAAAGTAATTAAATTAAAACACTCTTATTTTACCTGCATTCTATCAATATAACTTTCCAGTGTGAGAATACTAGATCCAGCCACTTTCTTTGTTTCAACCATTGTTTTTAAATCAGCCAGTAAACTCATATGCTTTGACATATCTGTAGCTAAAACCTAAATTATATGCGCAAAACAAATAAACACATATGATAAATAATGCGTAAATAATAACAATAACAATTGTGGGCAATAATACAAAATTCGGATTTTCAATACAAACGTCAAGTCAGTCAGTTCTTCTACGCGGATCAGAAACTTGGCGGCGGGTCACAAAGAATATTTCCAACAGCCTGTTGCAGACCTTTATCAACAACTGTCTTCGCTCTATACTGAAGATCAGATGACCGGAAAGAATCACCAACAAGAAACTATGGGAACAAACAAAACAAAACAAGAACCAATCGCTCAACAAATATGCAGGAGAAAATGGAGATGGATTGGACACTCGTTGAGGAGGCCGCTGGGTGACATCGCGCGTCAGGCTCTCGAGGGGAACTCGGAAAGGAAGTGGCGAGTGGGACATCCAAGGGTGACATGGAGGAGATCGTGTGAAGAGGAGTTGAAACAGTATGGATTAACATGGATGTAGGTGGAAAGTACAGCAGAAGACAGAAGCAAGTGGAGACGTGTAGCTGAAGCCCTATGTTCCACTAGGAACCCAAGGGAACATTAATAATAATATTAAAGTAAGCACTGAATATGTTTTCTATGAAGATAATGAAAAGTTTGCAATTAAACCGTCTAGCTTATTTAATTATTATTCTTTACTATCAGACATCTTTCTACAACTTTAGCTTTATGCAGGAAGACGTTTCAAAGGTTACACTAGTTAAACACATAAGTGACCGTCCACACTATCTAAGTCAGATATGCACAAATATGTCTTTCGTCAATAATGTATAATTCATTGAGGATTTGAGCACGAAGAGATTTCAGTTGGAAAATTTTGGAAAGCCAGGGGGCACTACCCAGCTGTTTCGTCCTAGTTTGGAACCCTTCATCAGTAAGCAGCCATGACCCTGTAAGTGCCCAAGCTGACCTCTAGATAGGCCTTAAACATCAGTACTTATTAGACTCCCTTTCCTCGGTTAACTCTGATCAGTGTATTACATAACGTGTATGTACTCATGAATGAAGTCCAGATCAAAGGCTTATGCACTGTTGTGTGCCCTGATATGAATTGTATTGATATAACAAGTGAAAAACCGAAATTAATACGTAGTAATATCGTACAATTTATTTGCAGCCCGAAGACCTCAGTGGTAACGTCTCTGACTGCAGGCAGCACTGGGTGACGTGGGTTCGAGTCTCAGAAGGGACATGAATTCCTTCAACGCAGTTGCAGATACGCCTTGCTGACTGTTGAGTGCCAACTAGCACAGGGCTTCCTGCCGATTGCCTCCAACCACCTAATATCATCAAATCAATGTGCACCATGATGGCGAGCCAGCTGGTGGCATGGTGGCCACATTCCAAACCTGACTGATAGAATTCAGTCTGCATCAAAGAAAGGACTAGACACGTCACACTAGTTACTACTGTCCAATCAAATTGAAACCATATGTGTTATACCTGGGATGCAAATTAATGAAAAGGAAAGCTCATTATAAACCCTATATCTTGCCTAACCTGTATGTAACATTAACAACTCCATCCTGTAAAAATAGACGAGATATCACCACTAATGAAATTTCAAAGGTTACAAACTTGAAGGAAGCTCTATGTTCCATTTAGAATGCAGGGAATCAAAAAATAAGGAGAAAAGAATCATGAAATATGACATGAAACAAAATGTTATTACTAAAAATGTCATTTCAGACACGAAAATAACTGAAACGATTAAGAACAGAGCTTTATTTATTCTCTTCTCCACCGTTACCCCCTTCCCCTCCCCGAAGCCCGGACAATCTTAACTTTGCAACCATGCATTTTAAGAAAAATTCGTTTTACATTTATTGCTTACGTAATACACATCTCGATAGCATTTCCAGCCGACTATATTTGATTTATTCTACAAGTGTGTGTACTTTTTTTTATCGTGTTATTACGTAATACGCATTGTATTTTGCGTGTATGTGGCTCTATCTGTGTTTTGTCAAAACTAAGAACTTCCTACTTTGTCTTCATGGTTCTTTGTCGCAAAATTTTTATCATGCGAATAACATTTAAACTAATTGGCTTTGGAAAATAATAACAACAACAGTCATAAAAATCAATAAGTCTGTTCAACACTATTCACTGATTGGTCAGTAGTAATTCATGTCCACATCTCAGTAATACTGATTAAAATTTATTGATCAAGTTTACAGGTAACACTCCATTATGGTAAAAATTTTTAATTTTGATAAAGTCATACAGTGTTGTTATACAGTAATATTTACTGATGCAACCACGTTTCGAGCATAAATTATTCCTGCTCCTAATCATATCAAGGTACTCACTCACACAACTTTCTTGCTTCATTTATATACAAGAGTGAAATTAATGATTAGACATTTGAATGAAATCAATGTAAGATAAAGTACATTGGGAAATAGTAGTAGTATTATTGTTATCAATCAGATACAATCAGATGAGAAATAAGGTGTTTTTTTATAGTAAAAATGAGTAACTTGTTAGAATGTTATAATGTACGTGAATTGAAATAGAATTTTAAAATTATTTATTATCCTCTTCTGATTTGACTGACTGGTGGTAATAATATCTTCCGGATCTCTGGTATTTGCGTTGGGTCATTTCTGTTTCATGTGCTGGGTGTAGACTGAATGAACCAGTCAGGATTCAGTGATCAATCTCTCTGTCTCTCTCCCTCTCCACCTACCTATATTACTTTTCATAATTTTGACTCTATCCCTCCCACCCATTTGTATGGTCGTATGTTAATGTATGCAGTGCAATTGCTGAGCTTTTTTCTCAGTTACTTATCTTCTTGGGGTCAACCATTCTTACCTTAGCTAAATTCTTATATTTCGACAATCTACTAGTTTGACCTATGTAGTTGACTTAACTCACAGTCATTGCAAGGTATTTTGTAAATTATGTTATTTTGTTTGATTGGGTCAACCAGGTCCTTTAACTTACAGAGCTCGTCTGTGAGTGAGTTTGTAGGAGGGTTTGAATGCCACCCTAATTCCTGCTTTATTGAGAATCCTACTTGAGGAGGGCCTCAGATGTTCCCTCCTTATATGGTAAAACTACTGTAGATGCCTTATATTCTCTCTTATTTATGTTATCATTATTATTTATTTATTATTATTTTTATTTTTTGATATTCCTAATGAATTTCATAGAACATTTATTTAACGGCAACCAGCTATTCTTATATCTGTTTCATTTCATCGTTTAGGTTTTTTGTTGTACTACTTAGTACTCGAAACGTCATCAGTAAATATTACTTATTGTACAACACTGTGTGATTTTATCAAAATAAAATTTTATCCATAATGGAGTTATACTCTATCACAGTACCCAGGTTGTATCCTTGTATCAATTTTGGAGGTAATTATTCCACCTTTTGCAACAGGCTGACAAGAGATAATCTGTAGGGGTTGGTGATTGAACACTTTGTGCCACTTTATGAATACGGTAGTATTTTGCATCTTAAGATGTTTGTCAGTTCTGTATGATGTGGTATCCTTTGGTAGACTTTTAGTAAACTGGTTTATGTCGTATTTTTCAAATAATGGATGCTCACTGGCGACTGACCCTATTCAGGCAGTTATCTGGGGTTCCAGGGGGAATCCGTGACCAGTAGGGTACAGCAGGTTGAAGGTGAGGACAGTTACTCATCGAAGAAGACATATGCGAAGTGGTTGCGCTATGTCGTGAATTGGGAGAAGTTAGAATTCATGGACTGGCCATTGGATGGGGTTCCAGTGGCCTAATGGTCTAGCTCGCGTTGTAACCAGAAAGTCCTGGGTTCGAACCGTGGGGTGGGTGCGTACAGATGAAGATTCCCGAACCAGGACAAAATAGCCGTCCAGTACTCGCTGACTGGTTTTCCAATGGTTCTCTAACTGATGTCATCTCATGCTGAAATCCTCCAACTAATAAGAAGGCTTTTTTTAAAAACTCATTTGGGTGTTCATGGTGTTCTTTTGCATTCTCAAAGCGGCATAATTTATAGTTGCTAAGCTTTCATTACTTGTCTGAGCAACATAACTTTAGCGCTAACTTCAGTGTGTACTTTTATCGTATTTACTGTGATAACTTAAGTTTAAGGGTCATTTAGAATACTTTATGCGGCTGGTGAACATTGCTGGAGTGTAAGTAGTTTACTGGAGGATTTCTATATTAGGGTCAAGTTGAATTCATCAGCTGTGCCAAATATCAACTGGAATGGATAATGTCGCAGACCGTAGGTAACGAGGAGACAAGAAGACACTAGATGCCTTAGGCTTCGCGGACAATTTGTGTCGAGTGTCACACAGACTCGAAGATCTACAGGTGAAAATCAACGAGTTGGCGGCAGAAGTACTAAAGACAGGAAATCAAAGGGAAATAGAGTAGACGGAGATGCTGAAGATATCTAACCACCACCACCACCACCAACAACAACAACAATATGCACCAATCCCTACAGGTGGGAGAGAATTGGATGAGGTCACTTTTTTCCCTAATTTAGGCAGCATTATTTCAATTACAGGCGGAAGGAATGAAGACGTCAAATCCAACCAGGATAGGAAAATCAAGGAATTCATTATTCTGAAATCAGTGTGGAAATCTACTACACTTAGCATAAAGAACAAGATTCGGATTTCCAATACTTATGTCAAGTCAGTTAGTGCATCTATGTAGTTCAGAGACCTGACGTCCGCATCGTCAAAAACATTTCCAGCCGACGGCTGTATTCGTTCTCTACATAGTGAAGATCTGATGACCAGCCAGGAATTATTGGCTACAAGAAACTCTGACAACGAACCAGCCGACAATCTATCAACTAAAATATATACAGAGAGAAATGGAGGTAACTCGGGGACACACTGAAGAGACCGTTGAGTGATATCATGCATGGATTTATAGGTGACATGATGAAGATCGTGTCAGGAGGAGGTGAGACCATATGGAGAATCATGGAGCCAGCTAGGAAGCACTGCAAAGAATAGAAGAGAACGGAGAAGTGCTGTTGAGGCGCTATTTTCTCCCCGGAATGTCGGCTATTATTACTTTGATTCCCTTAGGTTCCAAGTGGAATATAGGGCTTTAACAACACATCTCTATTTCATCCTGTACTCTGAAGTTTATTTTACCAGACTCCATGATTGACCATAAGTTTTGATCTTCTGCTCACACGTTCACCTTCGATTTCACTTAAAAGTCTACTCAGTGTGTCCTCCAGTCATCTCCATTTCTCTCTGCATATGTTTTGGGCAACAGGCTGTTGGTTGGTTTGTTTTCACAGTTTCTTGTTGCCAATACTTTCTGGCTGGTCATCAGATCTTCACTATGGGGAGAAAGTCTACAGCCGTCATCTAGAAATGTCAAGTCTATGAACTACATAGATGCACTAACTGACTTGACATAAGTATTGAAAATCCGGATTTTGTTCTTTTTTTTTGATTTACAGCTTGATTTCCACACCGTATTTTCAGTACAAGTGTGGAACTTTCAGCATGGATATCGGTTGCCCAAATTCAGGCATACCATAGATATCGGGTGTGCGCCGGCAGGGGTTCGAACCCCGGACCATGTGCATGGTCGGCGAGAGTCCTAACCACTGTGCCACCGACGCTAAGTGGAACAGACTTCCACACTAATTTCAGATTAGTGAAAGTCCGCCTTGCTTTCCCGATCCTTTCTAGTTACCTTTAATAGCCTCATCCTTCCTGCCTGTAGTTGTAAGTAGTAGTGCTGCCTCTGTCTTCTCTGTGTCCCTTTGAAGTCCTTTCTTCTTTGCTTCTTCTACCAAATTGTTGATGTTTACTTTTATGTCTTCAAGTTTGTATTGCATTTGGCATAAATCTTCCTCGAAGTCCAAATCTTCCAAAGTCTTCCTGTTGGTCCAATGTATTCCTGTTTTCTCGCTTTCTATAGTCTTCCACATTATCCAGTCCACAAAAGTCAAAAATATAATCGATCATCATGGGTAAACTTGTTTTACACTCCTGTCATCACTTCAAAGGCCTTGCTTAGCTTCTCGTTGTGCATAACTTGACATATGTCACTATTACTTTTAAAAAACTCCTTTACTCTCCCAATGAAATATAGGACTTCAAGCTAGAGGCTTGAAGTTTCGGTAGTAGTGGTGTTAATGTTTTATGGGATGGGGTTGCTACCCACCTCATGGCCAACTTCCCCTCTTTACTAGCCTTTTACTGGATTTAGCGAGGTAAGGGAGGGCGTCGGCGGCCGGGGATCGAACCCCGAACCACCTATGCGGTTGGCAAGCATTCTACTGCTGTGCTGTACATATATTGTTGGAGCAGATGTAGTAGATATGAATGTTTCCCTCTGTGTAAGTGTGAATGTACAGAGGATGTGTAGTGTTGTTTTTAGGCTAATAAATAAATTTTCAAGTATTGGTTTTGTAGGGATTTATTTTGATCGGATGAAGGATTTCATCATGAGCTGACATCAGTTAGAGAACCACTGGAAAACCTGGGAGTACTGGACAGCTGTTTCGTCCTAGTTTCGGGACTCTTCATCAGTACGCACCCAGCGGGGGTCAGACCCAGGACCTTCTGGTTACAAGGTAGGCTCGTAGACCGTTGAGCCACTGGGACCCCATCCAATGGCCAGCACATGAATTCTAACTTCTCCCAATTCACGACATAGCGCGACCATTTCGCAATGTCTTCTTCGATGAATTACTGCCTCATCTTCAACCTGCTGTACCCTACTGGTCACGGCTTGCCACTAGAGGAGTCCAAAACTAGGATCAAACAACTGTCCAGTACTCCCATGTTTTCCAGTGGTTCTCTAACTGATGTCAGCTGATGATGACACCCCTCATCCAATGAAGATATTATCATTGATTTTATATACTACTAATATATGTGACTGGGTAGCAGAGGTAGTAGTATGAGCGGGTATGCTTATTTGACGTAATTTCTAAATAATCAACATATGTATTTAAAAGTTAAGCTGCATTATTCAATTATAGATTAATTTAGAAGAAGAATAGCTAGCGAAGGCAGGGGTGTGTGAGGACAATTGTTTCCAGCAAATGTTTTCTTCAGAATTTACAACTTTAAATCCATTGTGATATTTAGCCTACTATAATTAAACCGAAAATCTGGATACGTTACGTTGATGACATATTTGTAATAATTAAGAGAAATGATTTAGAATATACTCATAAATTAATAAACAACATATTTGAAGACATCAAATTCACAAGAGAAGAAGAACTAGATAACAAAATCCCATTTTTAGATGTCTTAATCAAGAGTACCAACACAGGAAATTTAGAAACACAAGTATATAGAAAATCAAAGCAAACAGATCAAATACTCAACTATACTAGTAATAATCCAGTTACCCACAAAAGAAGCTGCGTGCAGACATTGTTTAAGAGAATTCTAACACATTGTAGCACTCCAGAGTTGAAAAGAATGGAAGAAAAATACCTACAAACGGTCTTCAGAAAGAATGGTTATCCACAAAATTTCATCAAAAAGTGTTTAAAATCGAATCATAACACCAACAAGAAACCACCATCAAAGACCACAAGAAAACTCATTCTATCATACATGAAAAATATCTCTGAAATAACAGCTAAATTACTGAAACCGCTTGATACAGATACAGCGCACAAGCCAGTCAAGTCGCTTAATTCGATATTATGTAAACCAAAAGATCCAACAGAAAAACGAGATAAGATTAACACCATTTACAGAGTAAATTGTATGAACCGTAACAGACATTACATCGGCCAAAGTGGGGGTCCCCTTCAAATCAGAATCCAGGAACACAAATCAGCTGTGAAAAGACACGATATATATTCTTTTACATCAATGCATGTAGACAATTATGGACATCAGTTTGATGATTGGGATAACGTCGAGATCATAGACAGAGGAAACATCAAAAGTACAGTCAGGGAATTCCTAGAAGTCTGGTACTCAAACGAATATGCAATTAACAAGCACATTAATATAGACTAAATATACCAACTAATCAAAAGTAAATCACATGTGACCAGAAAGTTTAAAATCCAAGTCAATAGAAAATGGTCAATACATATGTAAAGATGGTTACCGGGAGACGCAATTCTATGAGCTCATGAAGAAATTTAAATCATTTCACTTTATGCTAAATATTGCGCTGAAGGGAGATGTTGTCCAGCAGGGGGATGACGAAAGCTCCGCAACTAAATCAACAAGCTCAGAGAACACTATTAACTGCAAATGGTGTCAGTAAAGGCAAATTAAAATAATATATCAAACGCTGTATTGAGTAGTACATATACAAGATGGAATAATTATAACCCGATAGTTTTGGTTATCGTTTAAATACAACACAATATACAGTCATTAAGATTATAGGATAAAATAATAGGGAACTAACTATTAAGTGACGGGCTTGTACATCGTAAAGGGTGACATGTAGTCAACGATATGTGAGAAATTATGAATGATAACCGAGAAATATACAAACAAATGGGGTATGCTAAAAAACGTTCGTAGGAGGGATCGCAAATACCTGTGATAATAGTGGTATGGAGTAGAAGGCTATTAGAAGGCGGTGATTACGTTCCTGATGACTAAATAGTAGGCTGAAATAGGCATACAGAATGGATGTACTTTTACACAACTGCTATGGCTGAGAGACATCATCGTGTACCTTAAGGGAGATCGTTAAGCAGTTGATGCTTCTTCTATCTTGATCCGTAGTTTCCTATCCGCTAAATGATATAGGATGTCATTGATTTTTGACCTGGTTACTCCTTTCCACGACAAAGTGGTATAATATAGTTCCTGAGCACTGTCTCAACTACAGACAGGAGGAACGGACGAGGATGTCAAATCGAGAATCGAGAAGGCGAGAAACACATTCATCAACCTGAAACCAATCTGGAAATCTTCGTCACTCAGCATCAACAACAAAATTCGGATTTTCAATACAAACGTCAAGTCAGTCAGTTCTTCTACGCGGATGAGAAACTTGGCGGCGGGTCACAAAGAATATTTCCAACAGCCTGTTGCAGACCTTTATCAACAACTGTCTTCGCTCTATACTGAAGATCAGATGACCGGAAAGAATCACCAACAAGAAACTATGGGAACAAACAAAACAAGAACCAATCGCTCAACAAATATGCAGGAGAAAATGGAGATGGATTGGACACTCGTTGAGGAGGCCGCTGGGTGACATCGCGCGTCAGGCTCTCGAGGGGAACTCGGAAAGGAAGTGGCGAGTGGGACATCCAAGGGTGACATGGAGGAGATCGTGTGAAGAGGAGTTGAAACAGTATGGACTAACATGGATGCAGGTGAAAGGTACAGCAGAAGACAGAAGCAAGAGGAGACGTGTAGTTGAGGCCCTATGTTCCATTATGAACCCAAGAGAACAATAATAATAATATAATTTAGATTTGCTTTTACTGGCTATTGTATGCTAACTAACGTTAATGAGGTTTAAAACGACAGGGTCTGAATAAGGACTTGATGAAAGTAGTGATTCGCTCCAACTATTATTATTCTCAATAATATTATGGGGACCAAATAAAAGACTAGACGCATGGTATTAGTTCATATCTAGTGCCCAAACAAAGTATCCACTATAATCCTACAGAGAGTCAGTCGCAAGCCTGAATAGCTAAGTGAAACGGGTTCGAATTTTAGAAGGAACATGAGTTCCTTTAAGAATATATATAGATAAATCTATATGAAGAGTGCCAGCAAGCATGAAACGTAGGTCAGGTAAGGTTTCCTACTGGTCACCTCCGACCATATAACAACAATATTGAGATATTTATAAACAAATTTTCACTCTTCAAATTCATCACTTACCATATCAATAATCATACGTCTAGAACTGAGTCGTTGTTTCCTTGGAAAATTCTCAAAAACATCATGACCCGGTTGACCGAGTAGGGAAAATGCAATAGCTAAATGATGATTCTCGAGTACAGATGAATCGTTGTATAAAATTGCCAGTTTGTCATCTACAGAGAGAGAAGGAAAAAGCAAACGTTAATTTTTTAATTAGTATAATTTTACGTCATCCTATTACGTAACCACGGCATAGTACAATACAATATACGAAGAAATTAAGAAAATCAGTTCAAAGAACGTTTAATGCTGGCGAACTACACGTATGATTCTCTACACGACCGATGGTGCTACCTCAACTGAAAGATGAAGTACCTAGACTAGCAGCTAGCCACTTCAAATTGTACCTACCAACTCAACTGCGCTTTTAGTGGAGCGAGTTATATCGGCCGCTGTTGCTCTAGGAACTTGATTTTTCGTGCTCACTCGAGAACATCTCCCACTATGGCTAAGTAAAGGTGTAGTTAAAACTATTAACAGCTCGATATTAGACCATATGGTGCAAACCAGTCACAAAGCCAGCGTAGAAGAATCCTTCTCTATAATATACCGGGTACCTAACAAATCACCTAAATCGTCGAAGCACCTCATTCTCCAAACTGCAGAGGCTATTGTAATTCACCTGAAACAACCAGTGCTCTGTGTCCAAAAGAAACAAGTCCAGCCCTTACTACTGCTCTGGCCCTCAGTAGAGACTATAAACTCATGAATTTGTACTATTAACTTTCATAATTCTTCTGACATTCAGCTTATTTTATGTTGATGCTATTCAGCTGTAATCTATCAATATTATTGATTTGATGTTATTTAAACAGCATTAATGTTGTTCATAGCACTAATTCATTGATTCACTATAATATATATATAACTGTAGAGCCTGATGATGAATTTGTCGAAAAGAGTACTCTTTGTTTCGTGTCCATTCTTTTGAAAATTTTAATGGGCATTTTTAATCAGTTCAATACAGTATAGTCAATTTCTGTAGAGATTCCATCACGAAATGACACCAATCAGAAAGTCATTGAGAATGAGGGGATACTGAAGTGACATTCCATCTTAGTTTATAACTCTGCAGTAGTGCACACCCACAAAATCACCGGGGATCGAACCGAGAACCTCTAGGTTGCGAGGTCAGCTCACTAACCATTCAGCTAGCACGTTGGGGTTCTGTGTTCCGTGAATTTCAGCTTCTTTCAACTTACAGATTAGTCAAATCGAAAACTATTCTGTAGCCATTAGTAAACAGGAGATTTTGGCAATCTGTGGATTTTACCACGAAATGATATTTACTCATGGGACTATTGATCAGACACGAGTGTGTATCTTTGATATTGGTAAAATTCAAGCTATCATAATAAGAATGTGCAAAAATTATCCGAGAGGTATTTAAATACTATATTTTTATAAATCTTACAGAAACTGATATAAATAATTCCAACATTTCCTCCAACTTTAACGGGAAAAGATAAGGGACTTGGTAAAGGAACTTTATTAAAGAAAAACACATCATATATTTATGTATTCTTAGCTACATTAAAGTTTGGCTAGGTCAGCAGACAATAGACTTTTCTGATTGGTTAGTGATTGGCCCAATGGCAAAACAAGCTGTCCAATGAGGTTATTTCATGTCCACAACGCAAACTGAATCCAGATTTAAAGAATAAACACTTCTACATCTACAGTCAGTTTTTGTGCGCTGCTTCCAATCAGTCTGCGCTACGCCACACAACGATCTGGTCCGTTGAGATTTACACAAGTATACTTTTCGCATGTGTCTACTTTTCACACGATGCCCTATGCTTGTAGAACTATCTGGCCAAATCTTGATCAGAGTTTAAAGCCTCTAAATTATTAGCTTCTAAGAGGCTTTCAAGGACATTAGAAACAGCAAGGTTGTTTGTTGTTCTGACCAATCATGGTTGTCCACATGCTGAATACCACACACATGATTAGACTACTCAAAGAACAAACTTGTTGTTGCCAGTATCTTTGTCACCATATCTAACAATATTTTCTTCAATGAAAAAAATCGAAACTTACTTGTATTGATTAAATATTGATTTGTAACGCCTGGATGCCCAACATCATGAATAGCACAAGCAAACAGGACGGTAAAAATTTCTAAATCTGTAAAAACCGACTGTTGAAATTGATGGAGACAGTGAAGGTTATTCAGCATATTCAAAACAATATGTTCAAAACAATCCAATGTAACCATTGTTGTGCGATAAGAGATAACATATTTTGGGGCAAGTAGAATGAGACAAAAAGAACAAAATTTAGAAAAAAGTTATTTTGAAAACTAAATTTATCTATATGTACAATGCAGTGATAAAGTTAATGCAGTAGGTTTTAATTAAATTTTAACAAAATTTGCCAATTTTAGACACTTAAACGTGAAACATACTTACTGAATAGAGGTCAATATTGTTTCACTCTCTTAGGCGACTTTAGATAGACATAATAAATGGGGGACGTGTAAGTTGCGAACAATTACATATGCGTCACGCTGCTGTAATCTAGTGTAGACAACTTACACGTTGTCTAACTGGTAGATTTCAGTTTTCTGACATCAGAACTGATCAGCTGATTGTGGTCGGTATTCACTCTTCTCTTAGGTAATCTCACACAATACATATACTGATATTAAGGTAAACATGTTTTTCATGATCCGATGGGGTATCACCCTCGCGTTTATGACCCGTCAGTAGTGCGCACCGACAATTTTCGGTCGGTTTTCAACATAGAACTTTGCACATATGTGCGGCAGTTCAAGTCGCCACACTCTCTCCATGTAGCACACAAAGCAACAGAAGAAAGCAGAAGAAATGCACATTAGAGACAGTAAACAGAGGCGTGAGACAAAGGAATAATAATAACGAAGAACAAAACAGTTTAATTGGAAATCATGAGTCAAGAGGAGTCGATGCATCTGCGCTAGCCATTGAGAACGATTTTGAGCCATGTCACCAATTGTTTCCAACCATTGGTTTTTACCGCCTCAAGGACGACCCCAACTAGGAAGTCTACACCTTCCTACGTGGCTTAAACTAACTGTTGTAGATTTCATTGACTGGTGTCATGTTTTGGTTTGACCACCGCTAGCTGTTTTCTAGCCTGACCCTATATCAGCTAACATTGCCCATTGTCAAGGAAGGCGATGACTAGGCATACGTAACACATGTCCTAACGATCTCAGTCGATGTAGCTTCACAACCATGTCGATTGATTTCCCCTCCCAGCCACCTAGCAGTCGACGCCTAACCTCAATATTGCTCACCTTATTATACCACTTCACGTGGGAGATAGAACGCAGACCTCTATGATCAAAGACAGCTAATTTTTTCATGTCTTCCACTCTCAATGGCCAGGTCTCACAGCCATAAAGGAGGACGAAGCGGACCCTTCAGTAGTACGCACCGACAATTTTAGGAGCGACTGAGCCTGAAAGTAGCAGAATTTGAGGTCAGAATATTATATGATTCACCTACTAGGTTGGGGTCAAATTGAAATGATTTCCACGCTTATCAGTTATCGATATAGTGTAACTATGGTACGAGGTATTTGTGTGCATTTTCTCCTACAGACGAATGAACAGAAGCAGTTGCTTGCTTACTGGCTTACACTGTTCTTTTAAACTTGATCCTTTTCATTGCCATGTGCACGTATTAAAGAATTTTACTTGACAACTTAAGTTCAGTACCAAGCTGTTTAGATTTATCTGGTTGAACAATAGTAACTAAAAACAAGAGTAAAAACTTGTGCTTTGTATTTCTCTTCAGATTCAAGAAAACAACAGCTTTAGCAGTTTGTGTTCCTTTTTTAACGACTAATATAATATATTACTAACAAAAGTGGTATGGTAAGGAAACCATGGTCTTAGGAGGAACTAGATAACTGACCTCTAGGTGTAAAGAATTTTTGTATTGCAGACTCACAGAGAACCTAAATATTCCATGATGCTGCCAGTCCGGTGGAAGCTAATAGCGGAATATAGGACACTTGTGTTTCGACCCACATAGGACTCATCACCTGCGTATGCCTTCATCACTACTGAGTGATAGGAATTCCTACTAAGACTCGAACTCAGTGCCCATCGTTTCAAAAACATCAAAGACCTATTCACTGGGCTGTGAGAACCACCTCTTGTGCAATGTGTATTAGTTGTTACTTGTTGAAGTTATCACTTGAATTTCCCTTTGATTGATTGCCTGCACTCAGTCTCCTTGTTTGTCAAAATTTGATTGTTAGAACCCATACTATGCACTTAAGCTTTTAATCTATGTGTAAAACTTGGACACTGTGGTAGTAAGTAATTCTATATTAGTTTGTTTATTAGATGTATCACACAGTGAAACAGTCGTATTATTTACTGGATGACGTTTCGAACAAAATTTATTGTTCATAATTATCTCATCAATTATAATCACACGACTTTGAAACTTGAGTTTCATAGTTTTCTTTGTCCTCTCCTATTTGTCGTCGTAGGGGTAGTAGAATTTTCCAGATATCTGGTTGGACAGGTGATGCATCATTCCTTTTACACGTATTTGCAGTTGATTCGATAACAAAGCTTCCGTTATCAATCTCTCCCTCCACCCTGCGACATTAGATTTTGTTCGAAACGTCGTCCAGTAAATAATACTGTTTCACTGTGCGATACATCTAATAAACAAACTAACATGGAATCACTTAAGCTTTTGTTTTACCGGAAAGCGAGTGACTGTTATCCCTTAAAGATCATGATTGTGTCACAGATTAGCACTAACCAAGCGCCATTGGTGTCTGAATGTCCTACCAATTATAAATCAGCTCATCGCCATAGAAGACGATGTTAAATGGAATTGATGGACTGGCTTAGTCGGATTCGTGACATCAGCTTTTATTATGTTGGTTATATTGTGGTAGTGTGATACAGATAGTGGGTCCCAACGGAATATTATTATTTTCACAGTAATAATCATTGTATTTGTTGGTGTTAACATCTGAATACTATTCGCTCAGTTCACTACTGCATTAGCAGTATAATAATCTATGTATGTGAACATTCTATTTCATGTCGTTTAATTTAAACCAAAATGAAACGCTCAGTAATTGGTTAAAGAATATAAACTGTATAGATACACATAGCTTTCTGATCACTTGAAAATATACCTTGACTTCCGTGTCTTGCCTTCTGCTGTTAAAATATTATACATGTAGAACCCCAACGAGAGATTGTCTAGGTAAGCTCACTTACACCTCAAATTGATTGTTTGCCTATATAAACCAAACTGATTTCATTCCTGTCCCCAATCCTTCGCGATTCAAGCCGTAAACTTCCACTAGCGGTTGTGTTACTTTTATGGGATTGGGTTGTCAGCCTCACACACAATCATTACCACGAGCTAGCAACCTAGGTGAGGTGTAGAAGTTCGTCGGCCATGAGACGAACACCTGACGACATGTGTGTTTGGAGAGCATTCGGCCATTGAACTAACGATGCTTTTCACACACTGATTTTCGGGAAGAACCGAACAGACTCATCTCAGCCTCTCGTAAGACAGGGACAACATGTAGTATTATCCTGTGGCTCAATCACTCGACAGACACCTCTACTCCTCCCCGCCCCAGTTGGCTCTTTTTTTTTCAGACCAGTGGCAACAACAACCGCAACAACAACAAGCGTAACAAGAGTAACACTAATGACATAGTCATCACTAGACAAGGAAAATATTTAAAACAAAACAAAACAAACAACTCACCTCTAATGACTGAGCATTTAACAGTATATGTGTTGATTGGACAACATCAGCTGCATGAATACAATTATGATATGGATTGTCATTGTATTTTGCTTCTACAGCATTCATATATAAAATTAAATTACGTTCAGGTATAGAAAATCGTTGTAAAAGATTTCTTTTCTATTGGAGAAGAGAACAAACAAACAACAACGATATAAAAGAAGGAAACAAGTGGCTGGAGTATTCGATAAATAATATTTAATACTTGTAATCACTTTATGACACCATGTGAACAAACTCAGGTGACTGAGTGACTGGATTCTTAACGCGGAATTATGGACAACAGTGCAGCCGTCCAAGGTGTCAGGCTTGATAAAAGCACACACGTAAAGGCATAGAATAAAGGAAGAAACTTTAATAAACGTATAAGTGGAGGAGGGGAAGGAGAATAACAAGAGGATAATCGATGACAAAGTATGAATACATCTGACACAATCTGAAAACGATTTTGACCCATATTACCAGTCTCAAGCCAATGGCTCTTAATGTCTTCAAGATTCTAGTCAGAGTTTTTTCATTCCTTTATGTTCTGATTGGAACATAGGGCTTCAGGCTAGAGGCTTGAAGTTTCGGTAGCAGTGGTGTTAATTTTTTATCGGATGGAGTTGCTAGCCACCTCATGCTCAACCTTCCCTCTCTATCAGTCTTAATACTGGCTTAGCGGGGTAAAGAAGGAGTGCGTCGGTGGCCGGGGATCGAACGCCGAACCACCTGCGTGGTTGGCGAGTATTCTACCGCTGCGCCACCGACGTCACAACATTCCAGTTTGACTGCCTCGAGGTAAAAGTCACAGGTTCCGGTTGATTATTATTGTTTCCTTTAGTTTTTAGGGTAACATCTCTTTGGTGTTTCTGGCCACGAAGCTGTAGAATTTATTGTAATTCCTTTACCTCCGAACAGTGAATCTGTGTTTATAATCTTGTTGACTAGTAATACCTATAACTGACTGTTTGACATTTTGTAACTATTTAACGCTAACTAATATCAATAATTGTACATATTATTGGATTTAAAAGCCCAAGTTGACCCAAGTCAGTGAGTCTATGGTTTCATGTCATTTTTGGTAATTGTATTTAACAGTAATAATACTGCTGCAGTTCTTGTTATTGTTGCCGTTGCCTTTCCCTGTCGTGATGTTTTTGCTGTTGTTGTTCTGATTGCTTTATTTCTCGTTTTCCTGATTCTAAAGAGAGAAACCCGAAATGTCTTTCCTCCGTACCTCAAACATATATGTAACAACTTCCTCGTCGGACGTGAGACTAGCAACTTCACCCTGTAAACAAAACTGTTACAGAAACTTTAGTGCGATGAGTCTCCTTGCGACGAAAGAAAAGGTTTTCGATTTAACGACCTCTAACTGTCTTCCAGCCTAATCATATATTGGATAACATTGCTTGACGCGAGTTTCTATGGCTTAGTACACATCTCAGTTGACGCAGTTTCATATTGCCATTGATTGATTTGCTGCTTTTGATTGACCTAAACACTACTCACCATGTCAGGCTTCTAAACGCAAACACATCTGTATCAAAGACAGCTAGTGTCTTCATATCTTCCTATTCCAACGGGCATACTTCACACCTGATCGGTAGTCTAACAGAACGTCCATGACAGTACGGATGTAAGTTTTGAATTGTCAGACGTTATTTCGTTTCAAATGCTATAAAAAATGTTGCTTAGGTAACATTTCAGACGCGGGTAGAGACTAACAGCTTTTAAGATTCCGATAGGAATACTGCTACCACGTACTGAATACCAAAACTTCGGGAGAGCTCCAGTGGAGGAGGTAATCTTCTTTCAAATGTATCGCTCCTGTAGCCTGTTGTCACAAGTCTTTAGGTATCGTGACCGGTATATTAAAATTACATGATGCCAGATATTACCGATTGCTGTGGGTAGTCAACGAGGAGTGTTCTAAATACGCCAAAGTCCTCTTCAATCATCTGAGATCAAGTTCACCAGAAGCATACCCAATTAGAGTCAAAATGGTTCAAAATATCCAAAATCCGGTCAGTCCCTCTTGGGTATAACGGTAAACTACACAGATCGTGGAAATCTATAGCTTCCATGTCACAAAATGATCCTTCGGAGTTTAGGTCGCTGCAACCCAGCTAGCACGCACTACTGAACAATAAATGAGAAGTTCAAAACTATTTTATTGCTATTCAAGTGTTGGTTTGTAGGGATTTGATTGGTTACAGGATTTTCATCATGAGCTGACATTAGGTGGAGAACCATTGGAAAACCTGGGAGTACTGGACAGCTGATTCGTCCTAGTTTGGGACTCTTCAGCAGTACGCATACACCAGGATTCGAACCCAGGACCTTCTGGTTACAAGGCGAGCTCGTATACCCCTAAGCCACTGGGACCCGATCCAATGGGCCATGAATTCTAACTTCTGCCAATTAACGACATACCGCGACCCCTAGCCCTTTCATCAGTACCCACGAAGATCACAAATTGGGTGAATTGAACCGATTGAGCTATCTGAGCTGAGTTGAACCGGGTACACTAATGATGAGCTCAGCCATTCCGTGTTCACATCACTTCTATATGACTAGTCACAAAACTACTCATTTCAACTAATCAGTAGTATACAGAGTCATGCAATCATTTATTCAGTTTTGTTGAATAATAATAATAATAATAAAGCAGTCAAAACAATAGCTGTCAATATCGTTTAGAACCAGCTATGAGATAGGTTAGCTGAAAAAGGAAGAAAAAACAACAACAACAACAGATACATGAAAAGACAAACAAACATATTAACCCAATAATTTAGTTTTCTTTTCATTTCCATGTCAGAATAAAGTAAAACAAAATGGAGGAGGAGAATTAACTACTCTAATTTACAGGTAGGTCAAACATCCAATCAGAGAATTGTCCACTATCCATCTATTACTCTCTCCCTCTCCAATCTACCTCTCTAGTTTATTGATTGATTTCAGTTTAAAATGGATTAGAAAGTAGGCGATCGATGAACTGATGAAAGAAATAGGTGAATTGAGTTAGAAAGGAAATATGTATATATACATGCCAGAATGAGCGCGCAAGAGGTAGAGAGAGATAGCATAATGCTTAGTTCAGGTTACTTTTCAGTGTTATATTGCTGTAAATAGTATATTTCTTAATGTCCTCATACACAGTTAGCGTTTCTTTAATGTTTCTTTATATCTCTGAATTTCCACTATTAATATATATATATATATAACAATGAGTTATCTCTTTTTTCTACTTAAGCTGTTATCACAGTTGCATGTTTAAAGAAACATGATTTGTGTGCACAGATATTTTCCAAACAATAGCTGCTACACTAGCATAGTCATCAGGCTTGTATGTTACAATTACGTGATGAGCTACACTGGCTGCAAAGTGTGTTCCTGCAGGTCCTCCTATTATCAGAAAGGTCTTTTGGATAACAGTTAGCCGAAAACCAGTTTCGATTTTAGTGAAAATCGTTTGTAGTAAGTTGAGGACTTAAGGAAAAGGAGTGTTTCTGTTGGATGACTAGCCCCTCCGCTACTGAATTCGGGGGGAGGGAGTTAGAAGAGTTCAACCCAAAAAATTATAAATTCCGGCTAAACTGTTGTGGTCTGTAAGCCGGTGGTAAGCTATTTGCATGGACACAACTCGAAGAACAGATTGAATGAGACCTGCCTTAAACAGTTGTCCTCTGGGCTCTGCCGTCATGAGATACTATATTATTGTTATTGTTTCCTTTAATTCCTAGAGGAATATAGTGCTTCAGCAGTGCGTCTGCATTGTGTTCGGTTGTCTGCTAGAGTTTTCACCTGGCTCCAGGTCTGCCCACATGCTTTCATCTCCTCTTCACATGACCTCCTCCAAGTCACCCTTGCATTGACGACCAACTCGCCGCTTCCCTTTCGGGTTCCACTCGAGCAATGGCTTGTCTAGTGATGTCAATTGATGGTTTCCTCAGAGTATGGCCAATCCATCTCCATTTCTTCTTGCCTATTTCTTTCACAATCGGTTCCTGGTTGGTTCGCCCCCAAAGATCCCTGTTGCTGATCTTTTCTGGCCATCTGATCTTGAGTATTGAGCGAAGACAACTGTTAATGAAGGTCTGTAGTTTGTCTGATGTGCTCTTTATGACGCGCCAAGTCTCTGATCCGAATGTATAGTAAGTAGCACTGACTGACTTCACATTGGAGTTGAAAATCGGGATCTTATTTTTGATGCTGAGTGCTGTTGACCTCCACATAGACTTGAGAGTAGTGAAAGCTTGTCTTGCTTTTCTGATTCTTGCTTTGATATCCTCGTCAGTCCCACCCACCTGTAGTTGAAACGATGCTTCCCAGTTAGGTAAAGGAGGTTGTTTCTTCCAGGTTCCTCCCATTTATGCTGATTGTCTGTTGTTGTTGTTGTTGCTGGTGGTGGTGTTGCCCAGGAATCTTCATCACCTCTGTTTTTTCCATGTTCACTTGAAGTCCTATCTTTGACGCTTCTTCTGCCAACTTGTTGCTTTTCGCTTGCATATCTTCCAGTTTGTGGGAAATCAGACATATATCATCGGCGAAGTCCAGATCCTCCAAGATTTTTGTGTGAGTCCATTTTATGCCTGTTTCCTCATTGCCCGCTGTCTGTCGCATTATCCAATCTACTGCAATCAGGGAAATCATTGGCTATAGTAGGCAGCCTTGTCTTACTCCTGTCCTCACTTCGAAGGGTTCCGTAAGTTTCCCACTGTGGATTACTTGGCATTCAGCATTGTCGCACAGCTGTTGGATGAGATGTCATGAGATACTAATGCACATATATATATATATATATATACGTCGTCTCAATAATCGATGTCACTTATATTTCTGAGTTTACAAAATTCTGTAGGTCGACTCGTTGTGTTTTATTGTGAAAAGGTGCATTGCAATGTGGAGTCATATAGTATGGATGCTTCTGTGCCATTGAACGTAGTTTTAAGATATGTCACCAGTAGTCTCCAGACGCTGGTTCTTAGCATTTCAGGTACTTCAGCTAGACAGTCTAAACTTCCCCCTCCCAAACTAATAGTTACTGACTTCATGGATTGATACCATGCGTATTGATTTAACCACCTGTAACACTTTTCAGCTAGTATTGCTTATCGAGGAGGCCGACAGTTCAACACATTTCCTAGATATCCGAACCGATGTAAAGCGAAAACCAAAATGATAAATTTTCCCTTTATCAATATTAATGGCTATAGTTTACCGCCCAACAGAAAGTAGACACCTATGGCCAAGGACAATGTATGGCCTACTCTTATGACCGACTCATCACCTCCAATGCTAAAATAACAGTAGAAGATAACATTACTACTGACTAGTCTGTATGCAACTTTTCAGTAGTATTGTTGCTAAAATTTGTAATTTTTCACTTAAACGGATAGACAGATAAGAAAACAAGACACTGTCATCACCAGACCTGGTACCATTATCATAACAGTCTTTAGAAACAGGAAAGATAATTAATTATGAATAAGATGGCAGCATCACTGTTTATTTATGTATATATGCAAATTAAATACTTATTAGTATGCATACAACATAAATATGTATCTGTAAAATGTCACAATTTCGAAAAAAATCGCACTATATACTACTTACTACATACTACTGCTTACCTGTACAATATTGAAAAATATACAAGTGAGAGGATGTGTTGTTAGCTGGTCAATTTCAAAAATATCAATCCCCCATAGATCGAGTGAATTTTGCAACAGCTTGAATACAAAAAGGAGAAGATAATAAAAAATATTATTAATAATAGTAGGAATAATAATATATCATTTGAGGTGTGATTTTGTGCTTACTGTACTCAGGTAAACTGTCAGTAGAAGGTCTTCGTAGTGGAGCTGTGCGTTACTTTGAAACGTCTGAAATAATGGGAGTTAGTTTCGCGTCTCAGTATGGGAGAAAATCATCACTTACAGTAAGGATATACGAAATATCCAGATGATAGTTGTTGAATAGAACGAAATGTGGGAGGACCTAAGATTCCACAGCTACTGACTACCAACCAAGTAAAGTAAAGAATACTGAGGATTCGGATTTCCTACTTTACAAGGCATACATCTATATTTAAGGTCATGATACCATGTGAAACTACTCATTACCCAGTATACCTAGTTACTTATAAAACGAAATTCTTTGCAAACAATTATATACTGCTGATTGGTTGAGATGTGTAATTGAATACCTCTCACAACAACCAGTGGTAATTGTTAGCCAGCTAGATTGAATTGATCTAAACAATGGAGGGTCGTTTCACTCATTCGAAGCTGAATTCATCGGGCGTGTACCAGGTTTGACTGAGCTAATAGGGCCGAATCAGTTTAGACCATACGATTTCTGGTGACAGCATAAATCGCATTCACACATTTGAAAATTAGTCAGCAGTTAGCAATGTACACAGTTCAAGAGATGAAATTTTGACCACAGTTTCCTTTAGGAAATGAAATTATTCCAATCACAGTGTGTAATCTGCTTGATACTGTGAATGGTAATCAGTAAAGCAGGCGAACTGGTAATATGTCAAGTTAAACGAGTGGAAAGACCGTCGGATGTTTAGATCACCTCCATCTGACTGTCTCGCAAGCGCTACTGGCTGATATGATCGGTATACAACTACTCATCTCAGTCAGTCAGTAGTATATAGTTTTACACAAATATACATGATCTCTTGACAACCATCTATGGTAACAAGTGGATCACATACTGTTGTAACGACAGAAGACAAGGACCAGGCAACAGATCGTTTATTGAGGAAATCAAGACATATTTATAGATTTTTATGCGCATTATTATTAGATTTATTGTTAGCGGAGAAGCAAACTCTTCTGATTAATTGTTTCCTTGCTGAAGGTTATTCTGTTATCTCTTTGTGGCCGTTTCTCAGAAAATCAAGTCATCTATCTGTGAAACAAATTTCCACACTTTAACTCCTCTATGATTGGCTAGTGATTTCCCAAGGTTAAGCTTTGTGTATTGTTTTTCTCATGGTCCTGATTCGGGACAGGAACACTGACGTGAATGGTTGTCTACAATTTTGGCTTGCAGACAGCTCTTAACACACTGTGAACTTAATAATTTAAGCTTCCAAAGGGAATTGCGATTAAAATCTCACCCTTGGAATCGGGTTCATTGTAGGTTGCTGAACATTTGCAAATTGTGTAATGAGATTTCAGTTTTTCACCAAGTCTTTATTGACCTCATTCAACAGCTGGCCATATGACGATGCCACGTGTCCGATGATCCACAAAGGAAATCTCGGTGAAACTTTGGAGACAGGAGTAAAACAAAGCTTCCTACTATCACCTATGCTACCCTAAATTGTCGAGAATTATATCATGCGGCAGTTTGTTGGGGAGCTTGAAAGACAAGAAAATATTGAACCGATAAGAAGAATCTTGAGGATCTGGATTTTACGCGTGGGAGACTTTCAGGCAGGCGAAAACCAACGGTTTAGCAGAAGAAGTAACCAGCGAAGACAGGACTCCAGATGAGCACAGAGAAGAAGGAGGTGATGAAGACAACCAATCAACTAACAGCAAAAACAACCAGCACCTATCACTGTCAATAGGAGAGATTTGACAGAGGTCACTTCCTTCACTTATCCGGCTAGGAAGCATGGTTTCAACCACAGGCATTCGGAACATATGAAGATGTCGAAGTCAGCCAGCCAGGCAGAATCGGAAACTCAAGATACGCCTTCATCAGTCTTCTTCACTCAGCCTGTATAAAGAACAAGATCCGGATTTTCAACACAAATGTGAAGTCAGTCAGTTATTCTATATGGGCCAGAAACTTGCACAGCACGTCACAACAAGTCACAGTCTTTTATCAACAGCTGCCCACTTCGATGACTCCATACTGAAGACCAAATGGTCAGTCGGCTGGCAAGAAAGAATCAGGAACAAGAAACAGCTCAACAAATACGTAGGAGAAAATGGAGATGCAATGATCGGGCACACGTCGAGAAGGCCGTCGAATGACATCGTGCGCAGTGAGGACTATCACTCGAGTGGAATCCGAATGGGAAGCGACGAGTGATTAGTCGGCGCAAGGGTGACATGGAGGAGATCGTTTGAGGAAGAGATGAGAGATTTTGGGCAGTCATAGACCCAGCTGAAGAGGAATGGCAGAAAAATAAAAGAAATTGGAGATGTGTTGTTGAAGCCTTACGCTCCACTCGGAACCCAAGGGAGTAATAATAATAATAAAAATCCTACTAAAACCCTGAAAATAAATAACTATTTATTAATCTAAGTAAAAGTCTGGCATGAATAGTAGATAAAGTTAGTGTCTCCAGTTAGTTAATCTCTGCGTTATTTCATAAGCATCACGTATAGTTGGGTTAATGAGTTTAAGCGCTTTGCTCTTCTACATATCTTCTCGAATTTGTTATTTTTTTCGAATTCACCTCTATTATTTTCCAATGCAGATTTCGTCCATAAAGCGGAGGTAGTTGAAGAACTGGTAGAAACTAAGCAGCTCTGTTTCTATCCATAGTTTAATACCCTTGATGAGGTTGTCGGTATGCACTGATAAAGAGTACCAAATTAGGACGAAACAAAGCTGTGTTCAGTATTCCTTTAGCAATTTTTACTGGTTCTCCAAATGATACTAGTTTGTGATCCAACGCAAACAAAAGTGGGGATAGCTAAAAATAGTTTTTTCGTTCAACTACTTGTTTTGTTTTTTTGGTTGAAGGGTCTCATCATGAGCTGACAGCAGTTGGAGAACCATTGGAAAACCAGCTGGGAGTACTGTTTGTTTTTTGTTTTGGTTTTTTTTTATAAAATTAATATAAAAAAGTACCCAAATCAACATGGTATTCATATGAAGTAACAAAACAGCAAAAATCCTTATTCATCAATATGTCAACGCCTTAATAAATTACATAAATAAACAAATAATACAAAAGTTTTAGTAATAATAGGAAAATTAACCGTTTGGGTGTGGTACATTAATGAAATCATCTCTATTGTTCTAGAATGATCACACGACTTGTGCATAAATAGCGTTTCGGTAAACAAACGCACATATTTGTAGCTTATAAATCCAACTTGGTAGATGATTGGTATTCTTTGAGCTCTTTCATCAACTGATAAAGTCGGTTAGTTAGTTTAGGTTTGAGATATCCTACAAAATAAGACATCATTCGAAGTTTGAAGAAATTCATTCTACCTAGAAGATCACACATATTAACGCCTCCCCTGATATCATAAATGGCAATCAGAGAGAGCAAGCAAACAAAATATCATGGCACAATTCTGGTGATTTGAACTGATCCAAGTACCTGGTTACTGAAGTCCGCCTAAAACTAGCGAAATCATGTATCCGATGTCTAAGTCCCCAAAGTCTGAGTGTTAAGCCCTAGTGTTTGACATCCATATCTTCCAAACAGTTATATTATTCTACACAATCAACGTTGTTGTTGTTGTTGCTGGAAATCATGACTACACATAATGTGTATCTCTGGTAAGGCTGATTATATTGAATTATGCAGGCAAGTTCATTACCAGCTTGAACAATACCAGGGAATATATGTGTGTACAACTTGGGCACTGTGGTAGTAAGTAATTCCATATTAGTTTGTTTATTAGATGTATGACACAGTGAAACAGTATTATTATTTACTGGATGACTTTTCAGACACAATTTATTACTGTTAATAATCATATCAATTGTAATCACACGACTTCGAAACTTGAGTTTCGTAGTTTCCTTTGTCCTCTCTGATTTGTCGTCATTGGGGTAATGGAATGTTTCAAATGTCAGGTTGGACAGGTGTTGAATCATTCCTAATACACGTGTTGGTGTACAGTTGATTCGATAAACAAAGCTTCTGTTATCAATCTCTGCCTCCACCCTGTTACATTACACTTTAAAACTGTCACCTTATCCCACCCGTCATATTGTATGTAGTGAGTGCTATAGCCGAACTATTCTCTAGATTTCTTATCTTATTCGGGTCAACTAATCAAGATTTCGCTAGGTTTTTATGTTCATCTAGTCTGAATGCCCCTGTTCTACTAGTTTGACCTATGTATTTGACCTGACAGTTGTTCTGGCAGGGTATTAGATGAACTAAATTGTTTTGTTTTAAAGGCTTCACAGGATTGATCCTTTAATCGACAAAGCTTGTTTCTAATTGAGTTTGTGGGTTTGAATGCCACTTTTATTCCAAGGTTCCTTCCTTGTATGGAATTACTACTGATGGTTTGGATTCCTTACATGCAGTTACACACAACTATATAATAGGACGGGTGGGATAGGATGACAGTTTTAAAATGTAATGTAACACGCTGGAGTGAGAGATTGATAACGGAAGCTTTGTTTATCGAATCAGCTGCAAATACGTGTAAGAGGAATGATTCAACACCTGTCCAACCTGACATTTGAAACATTCCATTACCCCAATGACGACAAATCAGAGAGGACAAAGGAAACTACGAAACTCAAGTTTCGAAGTTGTGTGATTATAATTGATGAAATGATTATGAACAGTAAAAAATTATGTTTGAAATGTCTTCCAGTAAATAATAATACTGTTTCACTGTGTGATACATCTAATAAACAAACTAGTATGGAAATACCAGGGAAAATAGACTATCCAGAATCCCATATTCCGTGTTCTTAATATCCACAGTTAAAATATAAACTATTCCAGAGATCTACATTTTTTACTACTTACCTATAGCTAAACTAAAACACTATTTATGGATACATAAATAACAACTATAAACTCTGTATCTCTGTTATTTTTATAATTTCCGCTCTAATAATTTGCATTCATTCAATTTTTATTTTTAAATCTATCCTGTCTTTCTAATTTTTGTGTTTTATTGTTTTCAACACATTTCACAAAAAATTTTCACAAATACTTGAACTTATTTTATGCGCTGAAGGATTAGTTTCTTTTATTCAGCTATAACACTCTTTATTTACTCACTGTAAACTTCCTCTTTTATTATTGACAATACTTTGACTAAATCTTATTCCGGTATGAATCATTGCGTTCTGTATAGAGATAAACAAGGCTGAATAAGATGGTATGATATATTTATTGATTAGAGATAGATATCCTGTTTTCTGCTTAACAGACCATTATTCTGCTGTTTGTTTATGAATAAATACGTAGAACGTATCAGTTAATTTCACTCTTTGACTGACTGACCGGCTGGTTTCAACGTAGAACTACTTTGCACAGATGTACAGCAGTTCGAGTCGCCACACTCCATATAGCACACAACGAAAGAGAAGAAAGTAAAATGAAATGCGAAACAGAGGCAGTAAACGGAGGTATGAGGCAAAAGGAATAGTAAAATCGAAGAACTGTGTGGTTTTATTGGGTATAATAAGTCACAAGGAGTGGATATGAGAACGGTTTTTAGCGATATCACTAATTGTCTCCAGCTTTCATTGGTTTTAACCATCCCGAAGATTCGACCAGTTAGTAAGTCTACACCTCTCTACTTGGCTGACTTGCTGGCTTAAACTAACTCTTGTGGATTTCATTGACTGGCGTTGAAGTCATGCTTTGGTTTGACCACCACTAGGTCTTTTCCAACCTGACCTTATGTCAGCTAACATTGCCTATTGTCAAGTAAGGTGATAGCTAGTCGTGCATGCGTAACATATGTCCTAACCATCTCAATCAATGTAAATTCACAATCTCGTCGATTGAATTCCCTTACTTACCTGGCAGTCGGTCGATACCTACTATAAATATTTCTCACCCTATTATACCACTTCATACAGGAGACAGAACGCAGGCACCTACGGTCAAAGACATTTAGCCTTTTCAATTCTTCCACTCTCAGTGGCTAGGTCTCACAACCATAAAGGAGGACCGAGTGGACTGATGAGCAGTATACACGCCCTTCGGTCGATAGCTGGATATCACAATAGAGATGGCGTAAACTGGTATATGCGAAGCTAGCCTTCTGTATCCGTTCTGAGATTTCGTCAGCGATCAACCAGTTGGCATAGGATTATGCAACTTCCAAAATAAGTGAAGTGGTCAATACGCTCCACCACTTCACTCCCTATCTCTAAGCTAGATGTGAGTCAATGCAGTCTAGTCCGGTAGCCTGGTTATTTTACATTTGACGAAGGCGAATCGCATTCCAAACATTCGCAGATTGCAGCTCAAGGTGTTCAAATGACTCTGTATTTTTTCAGCGTCTTCACCTCACCTAGAAGAGCTATATCATCTGCATATTCTAAGTAAACGAGATTATTCTCTGGTAACAAGTCGATTCATGAGTCGCCGAAGTCACCTAGGGTTAATTCCACTAGTACATCTACGATGAAATTGAATAGAAATGAGGACAGTGGGTATCCTTGACTGACACCACTAGTTGTCACCACTTCAGATGACAATTATCTATAGGCTTTCATCTGGCTGACTTCGTGAGTTTGAGTAGAGTGCTTTGATCAGTGGGATGTATTCCCTTTACAGGCAAGCATAGCCACAATACCTCTCGGTCGACAGAATCAAATGTCGCCTTTAGGTCAGTTAATTTAGTTTGATGGATTTCCGTCTAGTATGATGTATACTGCTGACAAAAATTTGAATACAGTATCTTGTGTGTGATATCCTCTACAAAAATCTTGAATAGTCAAAGAAGGGATTCAGTTGAGAATAAAGAAAATTATGAACCAGTGCAGAAAGTGTAAAACGAAGGCGAGAAAAGTAAAAATTTCAGTGATTGGTTGAAATTCACCAGACATATTCTGAACCTAAATAGATCCGTATTAACGTCTCTGATTACAACATTCAGTGGTATGAGTTGCAGTGTCAGAATGAATATTGATTCCTATAATATTTCATGTATCTGACAAAGGAGTCAGCTACTAAGTACAGATTCCAGGTGGAGAATTTCTTTCTTTTAACCTCCAGCAGGCCTAACATTGATTCAGAAAGCGCACCTCAGTGGTGAGCCATCTGACTTGGTGACCATTCAAGAGACTTGACTGGTAGAATTCACTCAGAACCGACACTAAAGACTAGACATATGATGCTGGTCATTAACAGGTAACCAATCAATATGTTGGTTGTACTGCATGTAAACTATTCTCCTCTAATTCTGTATTTATTGAATTCACTTTTGACCCATTTAGCTTGTTCAGTTTCAACGTTGAACACAGTGCTTTAGCATAGTGTTATTTACATTCACGTTGACATCAAATATGATGGTTTGTAGGATTTTTCCAGTCATAAGAATAAGGAAATTGTGCAAGTGAAAAAATTATTCAGGAAATGCATTCTATTCACCGCTCGTTTATTCTACTTTATTCATAGTGTGGTGAGAGGTGTCTGCTAGCCGAAATTGGTAGACAGTAATTTACGTCAATTTTTACATCGTAAATCTTGGTCATGAGAAAAAACAAGAACAATGGAACTCAACAACCAATCACAGCAGACTTAGAGTGGGCGGACACGAATTGCAGATATATCCACGGACTGTCTAAGAAACGGCAGCAAAGAGGTGACAGAATAACCTTCATCAGAAAAACAACCAATCAAAAGACGTCGTTTCTATGCTAATAATAACGAAAATAATGTACATATGAATACATAAGTATCTCTTAATTTTCTCAATAAACGAACTGTTGCCTGGCCCTTGTCTTCTGTCGTTACAATAGTAGTAAATAGAATGATAACATCTTAAGCACTTATAAGGTATCCCCAAGTACATTAAATCCACAATTTTCAATGTGTACAGTTCGAGGGGTGAAATTTTCACCACAGTTTATTTTATTTTTTATTTTATTTTTTTGATTTACAGCTTGATTCCACACCGTATTTTCAGTACAAGTGTGGAATTTTCAGCATGGATATCGGTAGCCCAAATTCAGGCCAACCATAAATATCGGGTGTGCGCCGGCAGGGGATCGAACCTCGGACCATGTGCATGGTCGCCGAGAGTCCTAACCACTGTGCCACCTTCAGAAACTAGAATTATTCCTATCACAGTATGTGATGTGCTTGATAACATGGATAATAATCAAGAAAACAAGCATCTTCACATGAAGTCATATACTACTGATTGATTGAGATGAGTAGTTGCACACCATTCAAATCAGCTGGTAGGGCTTGCTAAACAGTCAGACGGAGGTGACCTAAATGCTGGTTGACCATTTCGGCTGTTTAGGGCTAAGTTCATCGGAGGTGTACTCAGTCTGACTGAGCTTAGAAAGCCGAACCAATTCAAACCACACAATTTATCAAGTACTGACTTGTAGAGACTTGATTTCGTTGTAGTTTGCGTCACGAAATGATATCTGTTAGAGAAACGCTGGAAACCGTGAAGTGCTGGTGTGGTGAGCGCTGGCTGCTAGCCAAATTGGTAGACAGTAATTTACGTAAATGTTTATGTCCGTAATATTCGTCATAAGAAAAATAAGAACAAAGACAACAACAAGCAATTACAGCAGACTTTGCGAAGGCGGATGCAATTTGCAGATAGATAATCTGAACTTCAATTAACGGCCACAAAGACATGAAAGATTAACGTTCAACGAGAAACCGCCAATCAGAAGACTGTGTTTGTTTGCTTACGATAATCTATAATAATGTACATGAAAATCTATAACTATGTGTTGATTTCCTAAATAAACGATCTGTTGCCTGGCCCTTGTCTTCTGTTGTTACAGTGGAAAGTTGTTTTGTCCCAGTTTAGGCTCTTTCATCAGTCCTTTGTCACGGTCCTCACTAACGGCACCAAATTAGGACGAAACAGATGTTTAATGTCCTTTATTTTTCAGTGGTTCTTGATGAAGTAAAACAGTCTTTGAAAGGATCTTCTTCCAGAATATTGATTTGGTCACTGACTGACTGATGATTCGTTTAAAGCATAATTTATTAATACTTATTTTACCGCTTTGCTTTCCGAGTGAAATATAATTCTCCAAGCTTAAGCTTCGAAATTTTAATTTTTTCCTTTTCCGGGATAGGAATGCTAGCCTCATGCCCCTGCCTACTGGCTAAGAGAGGTTTAGGATTACGTCAGCCGGGGATAGAACCCTGGACCAAGTGAGCCGCGGTTGACGAGTATTATACTACTAAGCCACCGACGACCACTGTTTAGAGCACAAACTATCTGAATTTACACATTCCATGCCTTCATTTGGAATCAGTTTTAGTTATTTGAATTCAGTCAATTTGAAGCTCTGGATCCAGATTTTGTGCCGGCTACCACTCATCAGCTTAGTGATAAGATATTTGACTGCGGTACTGCGTGACCTAGGATCAAATCTCAGTGGGGCAATCAATTCCTTTCATGGCTGAAGGTAGGCCATGCTGATGAGTTTTAATGAACACGAAACGTAGGTCTAGGGCTTCACACCAATCACCTCCAACCATCGAACAACAAACGTTAACCCCTGCACCTAAAAGAAATAAACTAATCGATAATCATGTTAAAAAAAGTAGAAGAAGGTTATTTTAACTGAAACAACTTACTTCTTCAAGTCTAGCAGGATTTTTCGAATTCATTATATACGGTACAATTGAAGTTGGCAAATTATTCTCACTAGAGTGTTCGTGATGATAATGATGATGTTGGTGTTGATGTTGATTATGCTGATTATGAAAATGAACAGAAGGACTGGGTGTAGGGACGAAAATAGAAGGATTATTATTACTCTCAGAAGTATGCCATTGATATTTCCCAGTACTTTTATCATCTCCACTGCTACTCCTAATTTCATCAATTCCTGATGATGCAACTGATAATGATGCTAGCGGAGATACCGTCGTTGATAATGATGAACAATTGACCACTGAAGTAGATCCAGATATTGTACCCACTGAGGTAGACAGACTGTTATTTGTTGTATGCCCATCAGTAATATTTGTTGTTGTTGCTGTTGTTGAGTGAGGAAGTGTAGTCACCGCGGGAATTACATGATCCAATTCAATAGGTCTTGTTGCAATATGTATCCCAGATGAGTCTAATTTCTTTGTAGCAGGTGAAGAGGAACATGTCGTCATTTCTGAGTTATTGCTGTTATTATTGTTATTGCATACACCGTGTGTATTGCTTCCACCACTACTGTGCGGTGTAGTTGTTATCATGGATGAAGGACTATTCAGCGGATCGTTTTCTTTAGAGTCTAAAAATGTTGAAAAGATATATTCTGATATTTGTTTGCCGCTTTGACCACCATCAGCGAATTGACTCAATTCTTTGTTCAACATCTTTTTAAACTATTTTTGAAAGAAAAAGGTAGAGAAATAATGATAACTAAAAATGAACATAGATATTGGAACATTTAACACTTCAAGGAGTAGTAATTTAAACATCAACTTTTTATTACATGCCCCTGGTTGTCAAATAGTGTTACGATGCATCGTGGACTACTAGTGGCCTAGTGGATGTGGTTTTCAAGTCTGAGTGGAAACTCTCCTTCACTCGCTAGGGATGCAGTTGTGGTGAGAGTTGTCTGCTAACCAAAACTGGTAGACAGCAATTTACGTCAGTGTTTACTTCCTAAATCTTGGTCATGAGAAAAAAACAAGAACAAAGACTTTGCGTAGGCGGATAGGATTCGCAGATATATGATCTGACCATCAAAGAAACGGCCACAAAGAGATGACAGATTAACTTCCCATGAGAAAACAACCAGTCAGAAGATGATGTTTCTCTGCTAGTAATAACGAATAATAATATACATAAAAATGTATACATATATCTTGGTTTCCTCAATAAACGATCTGTTGCCTGGCCCTTGTCTTCTGTCGTTATACAGGTACGTCTAGCTGACGAGTCTTTAACTAAACGAAACTGACGCACATCCTGAATTCTATGGCTCACTGACGTCAACAAAAAAGCAACATATCATCAAGTCTCTAAATAAAACTATTTGGTATTATGGAGTCGAGATTACATGATAGAAATAACGTCACATATTTTTATTCACTCGGTGAAAGATATTCAAAAGTTTGTTATTTCATGTAAACAGTCTGTATTATAATAATAAATAGCCTTTTTGAATAATAACCTGTCTTCCAAGAGTTGGTGTGTAAGGATTGGATTTGTTTTTACGAGTGTGACCACGGATTGATATTACTTAGAGAACCACTAAAAACCAGGGAGTGCTGGACAGCAGTTTCATCCAAGTTTGGGAATCATTGGCAGTACGGACCCACTGCCAGAGTTCGAACCCAGAACCTGCAGGTTACAAGGCAAGCTCTTATACCATTCCGTGGATTCCGGGAGTTCTAGTGAGAAGTCGTGGCCAGTGAGGTCCATCCAGTTAAGTGTGAGCATGGATGTCTCACAGATGACATTGGTTGGTGCCAGTCGCGCTAAATCACGGATTGGTAGAAGTTAGACTTCATGGGATGGCTATTGAATCAGGTCCCAGTGGCTGAATGGTATACGAGCTTGCCTTGTAACCGGAAGTTTTCGGGTTCGAACTCTGGCGGCGGGTGCGTACTGCCTATGATTCCCAAACTCGGATGAAACAGCTATCCAGTACTCCAAGGTTTTTAAATGGTTCTCTAACTGATATCGATCCATGGTCAAACACGTAAAATTCAAGCATAAATATACAGCGTATCACAGAAAACACTTACTTTACTTGATGCCATATCACTGACGGATCGGTGAGTCTGTATATTTTCCAGTCTTTCTAAACACCATTCAAGTTCCTCTAGAGTTTCAGTAGCTGTCACTTTTGCCTGTCCAGAAGAACCAATTTTGAGTTCTTTAAAAAAATAAAAAAAAAGAAAGTTTCATGAGAAATAGTCTAAAATAAATTTTCCTTAATGAGAGGAGAGAAAAACAGCATTTTAAAGGAGATTTTTTTTATTCCTTTGCGTTAGGAATAGGATCTAGGGCTTCAAGCTGTGAGATCTCATTGGTGGTGGTGTTGTTTTTCTATGGGATAGAGTCACTGATCTCTTATGCTCAACCGTGTCTATTTTCTAGGCTAACTACACTGGCCTGGAATCAAACCTCAACGAATGAGGTGCGACAACTTCACCAGAGAAAGTGATACGTGCAGTGAAAACATGAATATGCCGCTCATTCACAGAAGAAGTATTGGCTATTCGAGACCTGAAATAAAACCTCTATGTCTAAAAGCAACAGATACACCCGATCGCTTTACCTTATGCAGAGTAACATTCTTGCTGCAATTTCATTTTCAAAGGAAACTATGGTGAAATAATCACCTTGAACTATGAAAATTGCAAATTGATTTGCATATTGTGATTTTGATTTATGGTACGACCAGTTCAACCAAGTTGCTGGGCAGAATTTAACGTGGCTTGAAGTGATATGGCTTTCTGGGATGAGTCAAACCAAGTACACTGCTGACGATCTTGACTGCAAACGAGCAAAACTGCCGTCCAGTGCCTAGATCACCTTCATCGGGCTGTCTAGCAAGCACTGCTGGTTGGTGTGAGTGGTATAAAACTACTCATATCAGTTATTCAGTAGTTTGTAGCGTGATAGACTATTTTAAAACTATTAAACAAATGTTAGTAAAGTAGGATTTAATGGAATTTATCAAATTTTGATGGAATTCTTCAGTTGTTTGTAGAAGCAAATACATAGATCGCATACAGAAAGGCGATTGTCTACTCTCATGATGGGACATTGAGGAGAGTTGAAGTCAAGGTAACAAAAAGTTCAATAACGAAGCATCCTATAGACTATGGAAATTCAACGTCCTGATCAGTCCCACAAACAGAAAGATGCTTGCATTTGTGGAGACTTATGAAATTAGAGTTTATAAACCTGTTCTCTGGATACAGAAGGAGATGATGGTCACTATGATGCAGCCAGGGCAATATCTGTAACGCATTATTACTCCATCTCCTGTTATTATTATCCTTTATTCATTCGAAACTATCCTGAGTCAGTAACATTACTTTAACTGGATTTTATTGTTATTATTACAATTAGAACTACTATCAGTCAATTTGCAATTCGTTGCATTTTCATGTTCTTTCTCTGATAACCAATTTCTTATTTAATTGAAGCAACTGAACTGTAATGCATTATTATCTGAATTTTATTCTGTCATAACCCATTTCCACTTATCTATCTGTAAATGGCAAGAAAAACACTCATACGTATCGTTTTGTATGATTGATTCAATGTAGTTTATTTCATTAGATATGAAGGAGAAGATTTGTAGCTCAGGTGGATTATTTCGATGTAGTTGTGTTCTCTGAGCTGGATAGTTTATTGGCGAAGTTTTCATTGCCATACTAGACAGCATCTTCAGTGTACACTTCAATTTATAATGAGCTTTTAGATTTCTCCACAAGTCTATTAGTCATCTCTCCTGATGGGTCAACTTCAACGTGATTGGTTGGTTTTGTGCGTTTTCACATTCTCTAAGCTACTTGTATTGGTATTGATTGCTACTCTGACTTGAACCTTGACCCTTTGTGTGCGAGATTTCCTTCTTATCGATTGGTAAATTTTGTCTATGTCTATGTATGTATTGATTGACGATTGACTGGAATACCAGGCTTCTAAAAATTCTCTAGCATTCTTTGTGTTTCCTCTGTCTGATATTTCAACGTTGTCCCAGTCGAACTGATGTTCATGGTGGTCTGTATGCAGTGAGGCGAAATGAGGGAGTGGATATGATGCTTTTGACGGTTAGTTTATGTTCATGGATTCGAAGACGAAGGGGACGTCCACTTTGGCCAATGTAGTGTTTTCCGCAGTTGTTACAACTTATTTTGTAGATGATGTTGGTTTTATCTTCTTTCGTTGTTGAGTCTTTTGGATGACACGGAGCCAGCTGAGTGAAGTGATTTTGTTGGTTGGTGTGGCACATCAGTTCCTAAAGGTTTGAAGAGTCTTGCAGTGATTTCTGAGATGTCCTTCATATATGGTAGGGTGATTTTCCTTGTGCTTTGCTTGGGGGCATTTGATTTTGGTAGGTTGGTTTGTCGACAGATGTATTTTGATGAGGTTCCGTCTATGAGATATTTTTCTTCAATTTTCCTTAGTGTGGGAGTGCTACAATGAGTCCCGGCCAGCTCTAATAATACTTGTATACAACTCCTTTTGTGTGTCATTGGATTGTTGCAGTTGTATTTAAGTATTAAGTTTATAGAAAATCAACTCACACTTTAGCAATTCGACTTTTACAAGGTTGAAAGAGCAACACTATGCGGTCAAGTTTTTTGTAACGAACATTTTATCGCTTTACAGAGATGCATAATAAGTTTGTTATAATACTTGCTTGCTGGTACCATGTTTTCCAATGGTTCTCTAACTTATGTCAGCTCATGATGAAAATCCTGTAACCAATCAAATCCCTACAAACCAACACTTGAACAGAAATGTTTGTGTTAGATGGTTGGAGACAATCGACAAAAAGCCTTAGAAATAGGTCTCATGCTTGTTGGCACTCGTTATCAGGATGTATCTCCAATCTGGAAGAAACTGATGCCAACTCTAAGATCTGGAGCCGTGTCACCCAGTGATGCAGTCATAGACGTTACCACTAGGTAATTTTCACTCAAGATTAACCTCCTATAGGGCTGTAATGGATACTTTAAATAGTCAACGGGGTAGTATCCATCGTCATGCATCTAGTTCTTTGCTTGTTTCAGACTGGGTCCTCTCAGTTAAGTTTGCAGTTAGGTTACCACGTTAGATGACTCGCCATCACATGCTGATTGTCACCGACCATCTTACATCATTTCAGTGCGCACAAAGTTGGTGAGTAACCTAGAGTGGTGATGACAATTCAAACTTGACTGAATACAAACATCTATAAAAACAAAATAATCCAGCAAAGAATATTCTTTTCGATAAATTCCTCTTCCAGGCTCTACAATTATATATATGTTTTTATACACAGAATATTTTAAATTAGTAGTTGTTAACAATATTAGCGTTTTTTCAAATAATATCGATTTGTAAAGTATAATCAATGCTATTGCAGTTCATTAATGATGCTTAAATTATAATAATAATAAAGATATAACAGCGGATAGAATATCAACTAAAATTAGGGAAATTTCACAAAAATTCTGGATCATTCAAACCTGGATGGCCAAGGTAATGATAATGACTGGACTAACTTCTTCTGGGTGCATAAATTAGGCTTATTAATATGAATCCCCACAGCCTCAGCAATATTTAGAAGTCGAACTCTTAAAGCGAAATTTAGATTCATAGGTATGCGGTAAATGACCCTGAAAGCATGATTAACGTCAATCTTGTGTTCTGTCTCCACAAGATGCGCCAGAATAGCACTGCGAATAGATTTTGTTTGACCTTTGCTTAACCAGGCAGGGTGATGTTCGGCAATTCGACGAGAAACACGCCTAATTGTACGGCCTATGTAACTGGCTCCACAGGAGCAGTTAAATTGGTAGATACACATGGAAGAGGCGAAATTAGGCAGTTTGTCTTTTATTCCCGAAAGCAGAAGAGGAGTGGTTTTGAAGATACAGCGCAATTGAGCAGCAGGGAATGTTCTTTTTACCGCATTTCTGAGGCGATGTGTTAGTATTTCACTTGTGTTGTCTCCTAGGAACTGCATCTGCAAGAACAAGGATTTCTTTGGAACTGTTGGTACCTTGGATTGTTTTGGTTTTAGATTCATATTCTTATCAATAAACTTTTCCGGATAACCATTCTCACTTAGCAAACGTTTAATATTGTTGAGCTCCTCGTCAAGACATTCATCCGAGCAAATCTCTCTTGCTCTGTGGACCAAGCACTTTATTAGATTGCGTTTGTATTTCAAGGGCACAAAGCTGAGAAAATGTGTGTATTGGCCGGTTGATGTAGGTTTTCTACAAACATTTCTTCGTATTGTGCCATCCTCTTTTCTGGTCATAAGGACGTCTAGAAATGAAATACTAGAGTCTTTTTCTTTCTCAATAGTAAAATTTATTGCAGGATGTACCTCATTAAATTTATCCAGGATGTCCTTTGCCTCATTTTCGTTCTTCATAATCAAAAAAGTATCATCCATGTATCAACAATAAAATTCGAGTTCATTAATAACATCTTTCAAAGGCCCATTTTCTAGTTTCACCAGGAAAATGTCGGCTAGAATGGGTCCTAGTGGCGACCCCATTGCCACACCGTCGATTTGTCTATACAGTTCCTTATTAAATAAAAAGTGGACATTCATTGTACATTTCAAGAGAAGCTCCTTCATGAAAGCTATAGGAATGCCAATCTCGATGTTTCGTCTTTTGAGTTCTTCACATATAAAGTCCACTGTTTCCATGAGAGGTACATTGGTGAATAAAGAAGATACGTCAAATGATATCATAAATTTGTTATCAACATTTAAATCTCTTATCCTTTCAACGAATCCAAATGTATCCTTTACACTATGTTTCACCACCTCAGTATGAAGGGGCTGTAAGAGTTCAACTAACCATTTGGCTACCGGATGGTATGGTGAATTTAGCATATCTAATACTGGTCGTAGCGGTACACCATTTTTGTGCACTTTAGGCGAGCCATATAGTCTTGGTGTGAACGTTCCAGTGGGTTTAAGTGACGTGTACTGACTCTGTGAGATGAAGCCTTGTTGTTTCAGTCTTTTCAGTGTTTCCGCCAACTGCATCTCTATCTTTTCAACCGGATCCAGAGAAGAGGAGATTTTTTGGAATTTTGAATTATCATTAAGAATAGTATTCATCTTCTCAAAGTAATCCGCTTTGTTCAAGATAACCACTCCACTATACTCATGAAATTGGCTACTCT